TGTATACGGCGGCTGCCGAGCGCATCTATTCGGTGCGAAGCAACAACAGTCAACGAGATGTTTATTTCGCGTAATTTCGGCCGGATCGTGGCACTCGCATCGTTCGACGATCAGTTCATCGTTGACATTATCTCTCGATCCGCTTGCTGTAAATGATTCCCCTACAGCACTATATTAAATACTTTCGAAAAAAAATATCAATTTTTTTGTTACAAATACGAATTTAGCTTAGTACAGTAAGCGGTCGATTTTCAAAAAAATTACTGATCTACATCTTATCTCGTGCATCAATGATCGATTTGTAGACTTAACTACTAGGATCACAGAACTACACGAGAGTTACTCGATATTTTTCTTTCATTTGTAAACAGCCGATTCAAAGAAACTATTCAAAAATGGTAAATGTTACGATGTATACGGCATGAGTGAAAAAAATGGAACCGGCATTGAATGATTATGTCAACACACGTCTCTTATACAGATGGCTGCGACAAGTGAAACTTGAACCGTGTCCACTAACTAATAGCTGTTGTGTAAATATGTGTGATTTTCGTCACAGGAACACACGAGGGAAAAAGAGCAGTTTTTTGAAATATTCTTTGAATTAATTCTCTATCTTCTATTTCATTTTATGTATTTAAAATTCTTCTATTTATCATTTTATTTGATTTATCGGCACAGATTTTTATCTATCTTATCGTATTATACGCTTTATTTTTTCTAGTCGAGACCTTTAATTTTTAAGTTAACAATCAATCGAGTAAATATGGACACGGTCAAACGCCTAAGCTCCGATAAAAATTGTCAATGATTTCATTTCCTCAGTCAATTAATAAATCATATCAATGGCATAGTGAATATTGGAGTATTTGGTAACGAGATATATTTTCATAATTATCGCGTTCAAGTTCATGAAAATAAAGGCAGATTGGGTATTTAATCGTTAATCAATCAACCAAATAGCTACATAAAAATTCAACACCTTAGCCTTCCGATCACTACGGCGGTGAAAGGCGACTCTGCCTGTGGAATTGTAATAATAGCTGTCGTTTTACCGCTTCCGGCTTTATTCTTCTAATAGCATCACTTGTCAGTATAATAACAGATGGAACCCAAGGCGGGACTTTAAAAAACCTGTCGATACGGATTAGGAAAACACGACTGAAAAGAAAGTAAATCATCTAGCTAATGCGTAGTTTCGAGATTATACTTTTTCAAAATGAATTCATTGCGCGTAAACGAACGACGAAACGCTCTAGTGGCCAAGTCAATGTTTTCTCGCACAAAGATTTTTGACGCAGTGGAAAAGTATAAAAAATATCATTCGATAATTCGCTGGAAGAAAATCACGGGACTCGAGACATCCAAGCCCGGTGATAAAAATGTGCAGTAACAGAGAAGGGAATAATACAAGTTACGGAGCTAACTAGTCGTCCATCAAAGGGCGCTGCGTTTACATAGGTAATAACGTGGAGTAGTAGACGGGCCGTCGGCCGTACTATATACGCGTCCGAGCTATGTCATTAAAAGCCATGATAATCGATTGACATATACGCGTGTATAAACACACCTACGGACACGTGCGCATGACTGAATCGGTATGCGGGCGGCTGGCATCAAACAGTCGCTCTCCTAAGCTGTATAGTAGCGAGCGGTGGTGGCCTCCCGAATCCGTGCCTATATACCTATGTGCAATTATACAGCCGCCTCCTCCTCACTCTGGCACCGATCCCCTTACGAGCGATCAGCTCTCGTTTAATAATGTAAGCATCTTAAGGTACGCAAAAAGCCTTTGTAGCCTCTCGCGCCTTATTACATTATTGTATCGCATAATGTTGTCGGACTGCGTGCGACGGGGGTGTATATAAGCGCACGCGGAGAGATTCCATTGTGCGGCTAATTCGATATAGGGAAATAATAAAAATTAAAAAAAACGAAAAGAAAAACGTTTTCGCCAAGATTATGTCTGTAAATTTGGAGCGAACGAGTCGTGCGTGACTCGCGGCCCAGGTAGTAAACGACAGGTTGATTTCGAGCCAGATTAAATACTGTGATAACGACTATAAGCTTACGGGGGAGCTAAATTAGTCCCTTTAGTTAGCGGCAAAAGCTAAATACGTACACTAAATCCGTTGGCTCGCTTGCATAAGTGAAAATTATTATGAGCCGTGAAAGCGATGCGAAAGTATAGAGTCGCCAATGTCGATTGGCGGCGCACTGCGACAAGCGGATATATTCATTTGTCCGATTGCACGGGACAGATAAGGCCGCTCGCAAAAGGGGTAGACCAGCGAGGGCTAATCCGAACTTTAGGGTAACGACGTAGTTCGCCTGCGATTTTTATACAAAATTATGTACTCGGCTCGGGGCGACGAGATATATAGCGCAACGACAACCCGAGGATGGCTCGACTATCGCGAGGCTACGTACGGCGCGATCAAACGCGTTGTAGTTGCAAATTGACGGCATACTCGAAGTTTTTTAATGAAAAAGGCCTTGCGGATTATCGTAAAAAATCATTTGATTAAATTTTCGCCAGCCGCTGGTCAAAATAACACCGGCAATTGCGTTTAATTGACGTCATCGGGCCAGCCGCGAGCTTTCAGCCTGTATCTCGCATCGAGCGATTAAATTTTCAAAGAGCTTTTCTCCGATACGAATACTGTACTTTATGGCCGCTATGCTGCAGCCTTGGATTTTTTCCCGTACGCATACGTTTATTCCAACATTTATACGCGGGTATTTTTTAAATTAATTTAAACGCCATGATGGAAACGTCATTCGGTCGCAGTGAAAAAACTCGCTTTTTTTTCTTTCCAATTACTTTTTGATCAAAACGAGCGGAAAAAGCATCGGTTAATTTGCTTCGTAAAAAAGCCCTTTACTTTTGCCACTGCCGAATAAACAAACTGTTATTAATACTTACCACCGATGATGTAACAATTAAAATGAATATATTTGGATCGCTGAAAGCTTAAAACGAGCAAGAATTACGTCGTCGTTTGGAGACTTTTCGCAATCGCAACGTTATAATTAGGTGCCTAGCAAGGCCGTTAAGGTTATTCAATTAGAAGACGAGCTCGGCGTGTTTTTGCTGCGCTTAAATTGAGCCTTATTACGCTGCCTGACGTCGGCTTGAGATCCTCGGCGCGTTTCTCGGCATATACATACTTATAGGTATAAATTTCATCCTGGGCAAATTGGAGAGAAGTGCACGAGATAATGCCGAAGCATTTAATTGACGATCGCGTATGCGGGGGTGCAAGTTGTTGCTCTCTTGCGAGCAATTTCGGAGTAGGTAAAAAAATTGAACGTGCATTATCGGGAGAGCAATTTTGTTATTGCAGTTCGAGCGGGTATTTGTGATGCACGCGCGTATAAATAAGTGGCCGAGCTCGGGAATGGCTACATTAGTTTACAGCAGCTTTAGTTCGAGTCGCATAAGTTATCCAGCCGGACTCGGGAAACAAATAAGAGCCCCGCGCGCAGAGCAGATTCGCGCCCGGAGATATATAAATTTCGGCAAATAAACCAAGGAAAAATACACAAGCCAGAGCTCGCTCGGCAGTCCTTATAATAGCCTTTGGAGGCGCACAATAGCCTTTGGAGCCGCGTCGAGGATCTCGAGCTCGTCCTCGGCGGCGGCGGTGGCGGCGGCGATAGGAACGGGTCTAGGGGTACACACTGTAACAGACTCGCCGTCCTATTATCAAGCTCGCGAGCGGAGGAGAAGCCTCGAGAAGCTGGTGTGGGGGTGCCGATCCTCTCTAGTCCGCTCGCGGCTGCAGCGCTCCCTCCTCGTGTGAGGGGGCCTCGAGCGGGCCTCGAAAGCGAGTCGGCTGGAGGGGGCGTGGCAGACGGGCCGAGCCGACCAATCAGCAAGGCCGCCTTCTCCATCCCCGCGCGGCTGCGGGGGGGCTCGGATCGTCGAGCAAAAATATTGACCAGCTAGACTAGGTAGGTACGCGCGCGACGACGGCCGGTCCATTTGCAGCGGGGGGGAAGAGAAAGCACGCGGCCAGTTCGGCGGCTCATCATCATCGCCCGAGTCGACTTGTTCATTCGGAGAGCGAGCGAGCTGCCTATGTAGAGTCCATGCGTCGCAAGCCTAATGATTTCGACGACTCTTTTTTGCTCGCAGGACGGCGCGTTTCGCGCTCGCGATCGCTCGATCGATTGGCAACCGGTCAATTTTTGAAATTATATAACGAGCTTTGGTAATTGAATGCTGCTTCGCAAACTCGCTGTTGGCCTGTTTAGTAATTGGCGCATCACGCGGTCCACGATGTTCGTAATAACGATGTGACATTCCAGTGTGGCAATGAAATATCGCCAATTGCCTCTCGCATCGTTTTACTGAAATGTCAACCATCATCCGGCTCAACTGGTCCGTCGATCGTATTTTTATCTCGTCTAGGAGCTCGAAAGCTCCAGAATCGAGCTCTCGAGGCCTTGATGAGGTCGCAGAGACCGGAAAGACGAGTCGATCGGGGGTCTCATCATCATTACTCGCCGTCAACGACGACAAACAGTGCGCGCGGATCGAGCCAGCTAATAATGTGTGCGGCTCAATGGATTTATACGGCGCACAGGAGCCGCGTAGCAACGAGTCACGTACACACAAGCCGCAGAACGTGGAAGAAGCAGCCGCAACGAGCCCGGAAAGATCTCCTCCCTTTGGCTCATTGGCCATGATGATGCCAGCAGCGAGCTCGATTACATGTGTATGTACCAACGAGGAGAGGAGAGAGAGAGAGAGAGCTTGCGCGCGCGGGGGATGCCGATGCGCGCGTGCCGCCGTCGTCGCCGCCGCCGCTGCCACCGTCCTCGCTGCTACTCGGCAGGATTATTAGCGGGCGGTCCTATCCTTTCTGTCTCTCTGTGGCTATGATTCCGCTCGCGCACACACGTGCACACGGACGCACATTGACGCGCGCACAGACACGGACGACGAGGCGCAGCGACGGCCCAAGCCAGTCGTGTAGCACTGGCAAAATACCGAGCTTGACATCATTATTTCGCGACCGCTGAAATGTCGCAGTTCGGAGCAACATTTTTCCGACATGCTGTATCGGGCTGCTTTATGCCCCGTGCGTGAGAGCATTTCGTCCGACTACCCGAGCCCGCGATTCGATCGCTCCACAGCCGCTTTCTGTGCTTTCTCGTCTCTATCGTCGTTGTTGTTGTTGTTGTTTTCTTAGCCGGTTCCCCAATTGTGCATAGAGTCGTCATGTCGAGCGAACGGAATGTGACGACGACGTTACTCGCGCTGTGATATCGTTGTTGGCCCCCGCCCGAGGAGATATGGAATCGAGCGAGCTTTCCGAGCAAACCCCGACAGCGGAAGACCTATCGGAGCGCAGCTACGAGAGCAACAGCCGCAGCCGCAGCAGCAGCATCAACAGCAGCAGCAACAGCAATCCCTCGGACTCGAGCTTTCGGCCCTATCAGGGATTCGAGGAGCTTGCGGCCAAGCCCGAGGAGGATGCCCACCACGCCACGGTCCTGCACAGCCTGCCAGCCTGCAACAACGACTACGACGATTACCTCGACAATACGCCCGTTGCCTTGGACAAGCCCAAGGACTTGCTTCTAGCTCGGCCTGCTGGTGAGTTCCAACCAATCTCACACTTCCGCGTTTATTCCGATCGACCTGCTTTTTATCTCCTTTTTACACCTTTTTCTGTGAATCGAGTGAAAAGCTTCGTTTACCGAGGATCGAATTTAGAAAGAAGTATCCGTCGCCGAACAGGGCTGTTGATCCGACGGCAGCTTCTATGCTTTAAAAATCACTTCGGCCAACGAGTTTTGTGCTTTTGAAAAGTGATTGAAGCTTTTAACGCAATAAGCATTTCTTGCCATCGAATTACAAGTGTTTAAAGCCAAATTTGGACGAGTTTTTTGGATATACGTTAGAAAATTTAATTTTCATTGCGAGTATCGTGAATAAATGTATTAACTACGATTTTGATGCAGTTGCAGTTTGAAACAACTTTGGTTTTTCATATGTTTATAAGTTATTTTTGTGAGTTAAATTTTTGTTTATCGAAACGATTGTCACTTTAACTTTTCCACGGACTAATATTACTATATTGATAACTTGTAACCGATGAGCTTGATTTTGGAAAATACTCGCGAGAAAAATAATCTCAAGACTATATGAGAATTAGTTAATTCAATAAAATAAAATGGATAGCGCAAAATGAGCAAGAAAAGAAAGGAATGTCAGTTTACAGCGATCCGACGGCTCGGAGCAACAACAGCAGCCGAGAAACTGGCGGCAATTTGGTGCGCACGTCGTCGAGCGTCGGAAGCAGCAGCAGCAACCTGAGCGGCAGCCACAAGGACGCGCTGCACAACTTTTACCGAGAGATCCGGGAGATTCGTCAGAAGGCTCTGGAACGGCACCAGAGCGTCGCCGCGGTCGGCAAGGATTCGCTCGACCTCATGAAGTCCTACGGACTGCCGCTGAAGGACCTGGGCGAGCTGAGATCTCGGATTGCCATCGACAGGCTGCGGACGGGATCGTTTCACGGTAGGTAGGCTGTGAATAGAGAGCGCGACAAAGCTCGATTCTACTCATTGCTCTCGTCGGTTGGCTGTGACTCAGCAGGCGGCGAGGCGACGACGCTCGAGGCCGAGGAGCTGAAGCAGAGCCTGCAGCAGCTGCAGTCGCGAGTCCCGGCCTTGAGCCAGTCGGCGCCCTCGGCAGTGGAGTCGACGAGCCTGGCCTTCGAGCGTCTCCGTCAGAGCCATCCGCTGTTCCAAGCGGCCGCCGCAGCCGCCGCCGTCGCCTCGGAATCGGCCGGCCAAACGAGCGTCGCCGCTCCTTTCGCTGCTCACCACGCGTCGTCGCTGCATCAGCCCCAGCAGCAGCAGGCCTTCACACAGCTGCAACTGCAGCAGCAACGTCAAGTGCAACAGCAGCAACACAATCATCATCATCATCACCATCATCATCATCATCATCAGCAGCAGCAGGCCAAGTCGTTCACCATCGACGCGATTCTCGGCCTGCGAGGCGGCAGTCAGCGAGAAAAGCAGCAGTCGCAGCAGCAGCGTCAGCAGTCCTACAGGAAGCAGCAAGGTGAGTCGGAGTCGATTTTCTTCTTCCTGGACTCTTTGAGCGAACGTCGACGTTTCAAGGCCAAGCGAGCAACGGACCGGACGAGGAGCAGAGCAGCAGCGGCGGCGCCGGGGTACAGGACGGCGGCGGCGGCAACGCGTCCTCCTCCTCGGCGAGCGGCCCCGGCAAGCTCAAGCGGGTCAGGACGATTTTCACGGCCGAGCAGTTGGAGAGGCTCGAGGGCGAGTTCGCCAGGCAGCAGTACATGGTAATTGCCACCTATAACCCGGTATTACATACTTACGCGAATGCAGCTCGGCTATAATCTTGTCTCTCGTCCGATCCGCGCGACGGCAGGTCGGACCGGAGCGGCTCTACCTGGCGCACGCGCTGCGTTTGACCGAGGCCCAGGTCAAGGTCTGGTTCCAGAACCGTCGGATCAAGTGGCGCAAGGTCAACCACGAGCAGCAGAGTCAGCGGCTACACGAGCTCGGTCAGACGGCCATCGCCTCTGCCGCGGCCACCGAGCCCGACGACTGCAGCAACGAAAACTCCCCCGACTGGTAATCATCGCCCTTCCTTCATTCACCACCTGTCCAATTTCCAGAGTCTCTAGTTCTCCCGTCTACTTCTCAGCTATACGCGATGGAAAACATACTGACTGTAATTATTGCAACTATCTGGCATAATGAATACCTGTACATAATTTAATTTAAGAAAACTCGGATAAGAAGCGAAAAAACGAAGCGAGAAACGAACCGAATTAACGCGATATATCGAAACTATATATGTATCATTACGACAATTACTCATGTGCAATGTCTTATGTCGACGGCATACAACAATTAAATGAACGTCAACAAAATGAAATATATGTGATATAATATAAATATATTTATGGTGTATAATGAACTAGTCTATAATTACAGTATATGACCTTTTGTTTTTATTACCTCACATTTGCGCAAAATAAAAATGTTACGAGTAAAATTGATCGAAAACTCCTTCTGTTTTCTATGGTCCTTCTGAAAAAGCTCGCTACGATCGCCCAGTGATCATTGTTCCATTAACGAATCAAAAGTCTGAGTTACGCGACGCAAGCCAGCTGCTTATCTGTCAAAAACGAGCAGAGTTTGTGTACATAGTCTCGGCAAAAAAGAAAACAATGCGATCGCGAAATGCCAATATAGACGCACCCACGCAACTGCGCACGCGTCTGCTACGCGTCATCACAACTCACAACACAACTCGACGTTACAGTCGCTGATAATAATATAGGTAGGTACGTGCAGTACCGACCGACCGACGAGCAAAGTCAGCGAGCAACACTCGGCTCGTTATATACACTCACACGCTGAAAAAAGCCACCGCTCGCAGGCTTATCGCAACTTGCGCCTGTGACTGTGTGCAACCGTTTCATTCATCGACGTTTATGTACTTTTTTGTGTATCGCTGCGACTCAGTACTTACGGGAACGTCGTCGACGATAATTATGTCGATGATCGTCAATACGACTTGAACCGAACCGAAGACTGTAACGCGACGAGTATAGGCGCATTTGACAAGCCGTGAAAATTCGCCTTGACTGCAGTGCACGCTAAAAATTCCACAGTCCAACGAGATATTGCTGGCAAAATGTCGGGCTTCGACGAGAACCCTTTCGGCGAGCCCAACGTCAATGATCCTTTTGCGGTGAGTCCAGCTCTCCTTATCAAACAACCGATGCTTATACGCGAGCTTCTTTAGCATATGCATATCTTTCGCGATGCTTACTTATTCCATGAAACTCCATTGCCGCGGCTTACCGTTAATCAACGCGCAAATTTATCTATCATCATTGATATTCCAACCTGTGGATACCCTTTTTTATTTATTTTGAAACTTTTACATGAACTGCATTAAATTTTCATCTGTTTTTCATCTTCATTTATTTCAAGATCTAGCCACCTAATTTTTTCTATGCACGCCTTGTTGGGCTTCTTTTCTTATCATATGTCAACCTTTTAGTAATGAGTTATTTGCACTACTAGAACTGATGAAATCTACTTCTGCCTAGAATTTTCAATGTACACTGAAATGTACGCTATCAACATGCTGAAATCCTTATTAACTCTTGACTCTAAATAACAAAGTTTTAATAATCATTCAATTACTGTGATAAGCTAATGCTCCAAACCTGCTCAAGCCTATTTTGTATGAATCATTTATTGTAGCTTGATATGATTCACATGTAATGTAACCCAATACTTTATTTACATAAGACTTCTTTTGCACAGTTTAATGCATGGATTAATTCATTATAATTTTCTATCAATTCTTAGATCCAATTCTAAGATGTTTCATAAACTGAAGCAATTTTATAAAAATTAAAATTGATAAACTTAATGTTTATTGTAGGATCCAGCTGTAAGAAAAGCTGCTAGTTCTATACCAAAAAGTCAAGGAATAGAAGATTATAACCCATTTGCAGACCAACCAAGTGGAACTAATACACAAGTCCGAGGAGCTTCTAATCCTCCTCTATATGGAGGCACTGCAACCACAACTCAACAACCTGCAATGTTACAAACATCGAGTCAAGAGGCTCCTCCACCCAATTATGCTAGAACACCTCAACAGAATATCCCTCCGTCCAATAGTGGAGCATTCTCACCGACAAGTGTTAGTTACTATTTTAATTTATTATTTAAATAGCTATGGAACTTTTATAAAACCTTTATTTTTAAATTTTTAGCAACCACCAAATGAACAATGGAGAAGAAGTGAAGATATGAATAGCACACCTTATTATCGTAAGTGAATCAATTAAGTTAAACTCTGATATTCTTTCAATTATTTTTATGCATATCATATTTTTTGTAGCAAGGAGAAATAACTGGCCACCATTACCTGAAAAATGTTGTGTACAGCCTTGTTTCTACCAAGACATTGATGTAGAAATCCAAACTGATTTTCAAAAAATTGTCAGACAACTATATTATTTATGGATTTGTAAGTAAAAATTTGTTCTTTCTCTCTATTTGACAAAATAAATTTATTTTATATTTATTTTATAAAGTTATTTTATAAAAAATGTTGTATTTCTAGTCCATGGACTCGTACTAATATTAAATGTCATTGGAGGATTTGCTTACATGATAGTTGATGGCAATGCAGGAATATTTGGTTTGGGAATTCTTTATGTAATTCTATTTACGCCGTTTTCATTTATTTGCTGGTTCAGACCAGCTTACCAGGCTTTTAAGTAAGTTTTTAAATCAAAAATGATAAAAAACAATTCTCAAAGTTTGAATTAAACTAATATTTTATACTATCTATTAGGAGTGATAGTTCCTTTAACTTTATGGTATTCTTCTTTGTATTCTTTTTCCAAGCTGTGGTAACAGTAATTCAAAGTATTGGTATCCCAGGATCTGGAACATGGTAAAAATGATTTTTTTAACATTAGTACATTAGTACATGTTTATTACCATTTGAAATTATAAACACATTTTTTATCTTTTAGCGGTTTAATTCTAGCTATAAATACTTTTTCGTCTCAAGCTAAAGATGTATTTTTGGGAGTTCTTTTGCTGCTTATTGCCTTTGCTTTTGTCACTGCAGCTGTCGGAGATATCATTCTTATTTCAAAGGTATTTTTATTCTTTGCGATTTAAAAATTTCAAATATTAACTGTTTTATGATCATTTATTAATAAATTATAGATACATCGTATCTATCGTAATACTGGAGCAAGTATGACAAAGGCTCAAGAAGAATTTACTTCAACTTTTATGCGCAATGAACATGTTAGAGATGCCGCTTCTAATGTTGCTGCGAGTGCTGTTCGCGCTCAAGTAAACAATATGACACAACCCCGTTATTAATTTCGTTATGCCGTCAATAATTAAGTTTGCGGAAAGAAATATTTCAGGTAGGTTTTTGAACTCACTCATGATGATTTATATTAAAATTTTTCTATATCAACCATAAATTATTATTGATTTCAGTGTTTAATCAGTTTTATCCTGAACTAGAGCACAAGTCACTTAGGAAATATTAGTGACTCTGACAGTCGACGTCACATATATTTTTCCCAACAAACACCGTTGATTCCCTATTCTTATTGTTATAGTTTATTGGCAAAATTAATGAATGCATATTTTCATTCAATGATAAACACATTCAATAGTTTAAAGTAATCTACTAATTATTTTATGTTGTACATATATTTTTTGAAAAACAAAAACATTATGCTAATAACTGATCAATTAACTAATTGATGATAAGGTAATAAGAGTATAAACAATTGTACATTTTACAATACTATAATGAGAAGAATAAGAATTACAAGAACCAATTATTATGAAAATTAATTATAATTAAAATAACATTTTTAATTCTAATGGTATGGAAGTTGATGTTATTTATGAAAATGATTTTATATTAAATTAAATTTTAAACTTACCAAGATTAATTTAAAAACTTTCAAAGATTAAATTAAATTATGTCTACGATGGTGTTGCATAATTTTTTAAATTTCCAAATATTCGATGAGATCATCCAATTCAAGTTCAATAAGCAACTCTGAAGCTGCAAAAGTCGAAAAATTTATTACAATTTTTTTCATACTTATAATATTGTGTAATATTGTATTAAAAAACTTTTTTGTACTTGTATACTTGTATGTTAGATTCATAAATTTTTTAAGTTATTTTCAAGTGTTAAAGACGTCCAAGAGCTTTATTTATTGTTAAAGTATATACCTTCTTGTTTGTATGTGGCCATACTATCCGTTGGAAATCTGCAATTTTCTTTGCTCGCGTCGTTAGTTGAATTTATTAACTGAGTAGCGAAAATTGCATCCATCATAAGAACTTGGGTTCTGTACATAAGTTTAGCATGCCCCTCTGCCAATCTAGTTAAAAATGAAATGTAACAGTTTCAGTGAAAATTTTTGAACAAACTACATGTACTAAAAAAAAAACTAATAAAATTAATTTCACATTAAGAAAATAGACTTAATTATTTACCGGACTAAGCTGTCCATGAGACGAACTGTTGTTCGCTCTTCACGTCGTTCATCTCGATGTCTGTGATACATGTACGCGCCACATAATATTCTTTCTGCTTCTTTTGTCATAGCAGGTTTAAAATGGTGTACATAAGCAAAATATTCTCTCAAAGTTTTTTCGTCCCACAATCCGTCAGTATTTAAAATGGACACATCACCAGGTTGACTTCTAAAATAATTTTTTTGATAAAATAGTTGTTAAGTTTTTTCTATAAATATTTATATAATAAGACTATCATCTTACGTTTCCATATTTTCAGTTGCAGAATCATTACCTTCTGAACTTCTTTTAGATATATCATGGGATGTAGAATAATTGACAGCTGTTCTCATAGTCCTAAAAATGATGTTTAAAAAAAATTAGTTAAATGTGTAAAATAACTTTTACATTACTAGATAGTTACATTTGAGTAAAGTATTCCGTAGTAGACATTGCAGCTTGTAAAATATGATTAGAAACTAAATCATCCCATTGTGGATCATGTTTATCTCTTAAAAATAATAACAAATCGAATCTAGAAAGTAATGGACCACCTAAACGCATTTTTACTTCTTCACCATCTGTGAATCTACCTCCAATTGGATTAATGGCTGCAATAACAGTACACCGAGAGTTCAATGTACTAACAAGGCCGGCTTTAGCAATGGAAATGGTTTGTTGTTCCATGGCTTCATGAATAGATGACATATCATTGTTACTCATAGTTGTTAATTCATCAATGCAACAAACTCCTCCATTTGCTAATACTAAAGCTCCTGCTTCTAAATGCCAACCATCAGCATCCTAAAATTTTGAAAATAAGATTTATCATTAAAAAGTAATTAAACATTTTTTAACAAATTTGTTTTTTGTAAGATATACTTTGATAGCAGCCGCAGTAAGACCGGCAGCAGTTGTTCCTACACCTGTAGTCATTATAGAACGAGAAGCTAATTTTCCAGCTGTTCTGAGAATTTGAGATTTACCAGTACCAGGATCCCCACAGAGTAGTAGATGTGAATCTCCTCTAACTCTTGTTCCTGAAATAAATTTGATGAATTATTTAAATTTGAAAACGACTTGGATAAAAATTAGAAAAAAGTACCTGATTTATTGGTTTTTGCTACACCACCACATAAAACTACTGCTAAAGCTAATTTTAAAGTATACATTCCATATAACTATAAAAAATTATTTTTTAAAAAATACATGCTGGTAAAAGTGTTTGATTCTGTACATCAAATTTAAATTATTATTACCTGAGGACATATTGATGCCAGAATATTATCTCTACCATCTAGAGGTCTCTCTAAGTACTGATCCCAATATCTTTGAAAAATTTTTGCAACTTCATCCTTACAAAATTCAGATTCAGTAATTTTTCTTTTGACCAATAAACTATTAGCCATTAAAAATGTTGTTGCTGTACCTCTTTGCCCTTCGGCAACGTTACCCCATTTTCTTATTAAATAACCACTAAGAAATCATTTTCTATTAATATTTTAAAAGAAAATTACGTTTGTTATACAAATCAAATTTACCTAATGTGTATGTTATCACCAGATGTACATTTGTCTACCAAATCCTCTATTAAAACTACTTGAATTGCATCTGTAATTGATGTGTGCCCACAGGATTTATCCTGATAAAAATAAATTTTTTACTGATACCATTCTGATAAATCAAATTTTTTTATGTATAATACCTGTATTTTGATTTCTTGATAATCTACCAAATCTTGCTCTACCACTGAAGATTCGTGGTGTAAAGATTTTTTCTTACATGCTTCACATTCTTTGATATCAGGAATTTTACTTTTTTCCCATTCCAACTGTAAGTTACATATAATTGTTAATAAATAACAAATATCATGGAGTACAAATGTACGCATACCTTAGCAATTGTAATGTGTTGACACTTTTTACATAATAAGTGTTTAGCAACCAAAGTCACAGAGGGTTGGGATATTCTAATGACAAAGCCAGACATTGAAACCATTTCCCCAATTTGAGCTTGATCGATGGTATCGATAATGCCGTGAATGCGCGTTCGGACCTATCAAAAATTATTTGTTTAGACACCTATATAAAACCGAATAAACATAAAAAATTGACATAAAATTTTACCTTTTTTTTAACAATGACATTCTCCGAAAGTAGTTCTTCTTGAGCTTCAATTGCGGAAACATCGCAAAGCGGCAAATACTGCCGGGGGCGTTTTGTTATTTTATCAGCTAAATCTGGATTATCTTCAAAAAGATGAATAAAACTATATGCGAAAAAGAAAATGCAATTAGAATAAAGTCCTAGACATAAAAATTATTCTTTATTTAATTGTTTAATATTAACTCGACGTAAATTGGAAAGATTTTGAACTCATCAGGATCTCTTAATATTTCTTTCAACTCTTCAGAATGATATTGAAGAAAATATTCTTTTAACATTTTAAAATTCACGATGAAAATCACGTTGAATTGATATCCGTTGAGTTTGTCAGTGTTTTGAAAATGTGCATCAGGTGGTTGACCGCGTGTTTCACGTAACCTTGATTTTGATCCGCCTTATTGAAAATTTTTACGCAATTTGTGAACTCACGGCACTATTTGGCGATATTTCGCGTAATTTTTTCTAATGACGACAAATTATTTCTTAAAATTTAGAATCTACGCAAATAAAATAAAGTTTATCATAACTATCAGTGCGGATGTGTGTATTCAGTCAGTGTAATGTAAGGATACGTCGATGACAACATAAGCAGGCGCACCCACTGACAACAAAACACGACCTACTGGGACGGCTGCTATAGACTTTAAAGTTGTATTTATCATATTCCGATATAAAATATATCGCCTATGTAAGGTGCATTTGGCTGGGTCTTAACTCCGTGCATCGTCATCTTATTTTAAGTTTGTCAATAGCATAAGAAGAAAGAAAAATTGAGGGTCGCGTATATATAAATTTCTCAACAAAAAGAATAGATAAATTCTAATAAATAAACCTTGACTACTCAAATAATAACAACTACAATTATTCAACTTTGATCATATTGGCACTAACTTGATACTATTCTATAGTATTTTGTTATAAATAAAATATTGTAGTATTACTATATATCACTGCGAAAAAAACGAAGTTCTAAATACTGGTTCATTCGAACCAAATATATGTATTTTTGTATAAACAAATTTAGTAAATTGAAGGAAATACATCTGTGATCATGATTGGGTTTCTACGTAAAAAAAATTAGCACAGCACGTGAACTCAGTTGCGTGCATTTTTGACAAATGCTAGTTTGAATTTGAAATCGTTTGTGGTCAAGACACTGTCAAAACCGATTGGTGCTCGGGAATTTACGTCAAACTTATAAATGACATAACCACAAAGCAGTGGGAAATGTAACTCTTATCGTAAACAAATATTAGGATTGTGATCAATTTATTTACTTTGTTTTGTAACATTATTACTAGGTATTTGAGTTCAAGATATCAAGATAAAAAAACTGAAAGATATGGATGATGTACCTGTAAATAACATAGTCGATTTTTCTTGGAGATTTGGAGGTATTTAAAATTGTGTAAAAATATGATAACATGTCATATATTTATTTTATTTGATTTATATTCATATTATGAAAATAGATATCATCATTTTAATATTTGCATATTTACTTATAGTGACGATCGCTAGTGGCATCAGCGAAGAAGTTGGAAAAAATTTTGTGCAAGTTGAAATTTTATATGACGAGGAAGGAAAGAGAAAAACATTTTTTGTTGAAATGAGTGTTAATCAATTTCATAAATTAATATATGACCTTGAAAAGGTAAAAAGTAATTTAGATATTTTGATGTAACTATCAAGAATTTATATTAAGAATTATTAAATTAATTCTTTAAATATTGTAAATAACATACTTGTATAAAACATAGTGTTAATTAAGCTTATAAAAAATATTTTTATTGAATAAAAAAGGAAATGAAATTTCATTCTTTGCTGTAAATTATGTCTATACAACTATAGTTCAATTTATCCTAAATTCTTTATTATCACAGATTTTAAAGAAAACCTTTAGTGGACACACTTTTTTGATTCCTAATGAATTTTTTTATAAGTTAACATTATAGTTGCAAAAATAATGGTTTTTTGAAAAATACTTTGTTACTAACATTAATAACAATATGTTTGTATCACAAACTACTTTAAGGTTTTTTTTTGTAAAAAATACTTTACATCATATTCACATCATTTAATGTTGAAACAGTGACAATTCCTCTTCTTGCCTATGATTCATCACCTGAAAAAAAGTACTAAGTGATTTTGTTGTTTTCTCGTTATACTTAACAATCTGTATTAAGTAAGATATAAAGCCTAAAATGCAACTAATATTCATATGGTGCAAAATAACTGATGTTATATTTACAACATAAACCAAATTATAAACAAGAAAATGACAGTGTGAATAGAAAAGTAGCTAAATAATATTACACTCAATAAGTGCGTGGAAAATGGAAATAATTTTGGATAGTTTTGAATAAAAAAATAAAAAATTATTAGAAATAATTTATAATAACATTTTAAATTTACTAATATATTACAAGTACATAATCAATATAGGTAGAAAATGATTTAACAACTAACAAAAAAGGTATTACTTGGGTAACTACTCACAACATTTAAAGCTTGGTATCAAAAACATTAGGATTTACAATTTGTTGTCATGCATAAGCAATTAAACATATTGGACAAGTATAGATTTATTAAAAAGTAATGTGTGATTAAAGACAATATTGGATTTGGCTTTACTTTTCAAGTTACAGTACTTGTCCATTAATATTTCAATAAGCACATTTCACGAATAACCAAAACTATCTACTTTACAATAAAATAAAATATAAAAAATTAACTTGTTTTCATGTTATAGTCTTTTTGAGTTAAAATGCATGATTTTTGCCTACACATGTGAATATTTTTTACGAAATAAAAAGCTTTGTAAACATAAACAAAAAAAAAATAGAAACAAACACTTATTCAATGATTATAAATGAAACAGATCTTTAACTTTGGTATCAAGTATTAAAAAAAATTTCTGTAATACTATAAGCTTATGTATCGATTTAGATCTGATTTTACACATAGCAAATCACACAAACCAACAAAACGATGATAATAGAAATAAGTATTATAATTGCACGAAATGTTTGCGCAATTTCCGTTAGTCTTTTATATATTTAGTCAATTTAGGAAATTCTAATTTTGCACAAATTAGCAAATACATAAGCAAAAAATTTTTATGCAAGTGCATAGGTTTGAAAGTGCTGCGAACAATTAAAAAAAAATGTATTGGCATAAGATACCAACTAATTTGAACGTGTATAGGTATATATATATTCAATATTATATACGTTGAGCGAAAATCAATGGCAGTAAAATATATATAAAAAATGCGAAAAAATGCGAAAAAAGAACAACTTTGTCAAAATTCTTGCATTTGTATGTACAAATTAGAACAGGCGCTCGCGTGAAAGAAGCCTGGGTGTTTAGGTGTACGAGTCATAGGCTTTTTTGATCGTCGCTTGCTCAAAAAAGCCGGACTAGGTGCTTCACCTCTAAGATTATTTGGCTCTTGCAGCAATTCCATTGCTTGTCTAATTTTGATGTTGTTATTTCTATTATTCACCTCGTCGGCGATGCTCTTAAACCTATTGTTGTTATTGACACTGGATTTACTGCGGTGTTTAGTCGTTGAGTCGGGGGAGTTACCGGTTAACATGGCTTGCGTCTGTGGCGGGGCGTTCATTTCTGCTTTGACGTAGATGGACTCAAGAACGGGTAGTATGGCACCGAGATGAGGACGTTTCGCTGGATCTCCTGCCCAGCATTGCTCCATCAAGTTCCAGCATTCGTCGTCAAAAACTATAAGACGTTCTGGTCTGATGCCTGAAAAAAAGAAGCAATTATGAGTAAATGTATAGGTGACGCGCTACACGTAAAATAAAGTATCGAAATAATACCTTTTCGAACACTAGTCCAGAGTTGTTCTTTGTTGTGAAACTGTTCGAAAGCGTAGGGCAATCTGACGTGTCCAGCGCATACGTACCAGAATAGGATACCGAAGGCGTAGATATCGACACTGGCGTCGTAGTGGCCGGTGAGCAGCTCCGGCGCCATGTGGACCGGTGTGCCGACGATACTGCCCGACATCATGGCCTCGGTAATGCAGAAGCCCAAATCGGTGAGCTTGGCTCGGTTCTCCGTGTCCAGCAGTACGTTCTTCAATTTGATGTCGCGGTGCACCAGGCCCTGCGAGTGCAGATACCGTATGCCCTCCAGGACGTCGATGGAGATCTGCACCCTCTCGAGCCAGGTGAGACCGCTCCTGATGCCGCAGTAGAGATCTCGGCTCATGCGATCGGTGATGAGCAGGACCGCAGCTCCGCAGCCGTAATTGCCGCTGCCGTACGTGTGGTCGATCACCGATCCTCGCAGCTTGAGGATGCGCTTGTGGTCCGGTATCGATCGCGTGAAGTAGAACTCCATGGCCAGGTCGTTCCAGTGCTTCTCGTCGGGCGGCACGACGGACTTGATGGCGCAGGGGCCGGGCGCGCCGCCCCAGCCGTCGCAGGCGAAAACTATGCCGTACTGGCCTCGGCCGATCTCTTTGCCTTGGTGCGGTATACCGTAACGTACCTGCAACAAAACAAGCGATTATTCATTGAGCAGCTTGTTATTTTTAATTTATCCGCCAGACGCCGTAAATCAAGTTCCGCCTCGATGCACCGAGAATAAACAAATCCAAGCGAGATCGTTAGACTCAATGGAGTGCGATAAATAGCGGGAGCAGCGCATGTGTGCTTTGCGTGTACGCAACAGATAATTTTTTCCACGTCGATTTTGTATCGAGTTGGCCGGTAAAAATGCGGCTGTCGAGCCTCGCGATAAAACGCGCAAAACTCGAGAGAGACTCGAGGCGATACTCTCGTTCGAAGGAAAGTAAAATAGTTCCAAATCCAAGAGAAGCAGGGACAGCCTCTCTGATTGTGTTCAATTAAAACAATGACGATAACCTCCATATTGCGAGCGGCGATTGCTGAATTCAGTTCAACATTGTTGATTTCCTCGTGTTTCGCAATTTTCATCGTATAAGCGCGTTATACTGCGCGCAAATTGATTTAGATCGTGAAACGAATATACATGGCAAGGAACGTCGAGCGTCGAATCGAAACATCGAGCCGTCGCTCGTTAATTAATCACTGGTAGAAATAAAAAATACTCACCATATCGCTCATACTGGTGCTCTCTAATGCCAGCTTGGCGATTCTCGGCGCGTGGTACTTCCTGATGGCTACCCTCTGCTCCTCCGTTCTCTCGAGCTTTCCACTGTAATGATTCTCGAGCGATCTGAGCGCCTGCTGGAACGTGTCGTGGCTGGCCTTGACTTTGTCGCGAAACTGCAGGGCTATCGCTCGGGCCAGTCGCGGAGGGCTAAGAGAGTTGAGCACGTCGACGGTGACCCTCTGGCGCCAAGCTCTGTTCAGCACGGGCGTCGGTGCCCAGGGCAGCGGTACGGATTTCAGCAGTTGTCGCACGCGCTCGAGGAACGAGTGTACCAGTGTGGGCGACGAGTTCTGTAGATTGACGGTGTACGCAGCCGACAGGATCTGAGCCAGAGCTTCGCTGGCCGTGAGGCTCGTTTCGTGATCGTAGCTCTTTTCCAGGCTCTGCAGGCATCGCTGCAGCGTGCCCACGAACGTCTCTCGCAGACAGTTGACCGACTCGATCATTTGGCGAGCAACTCGATCGCCGAGCCTCGACAGCACCCTGCGTTGCACCTCGGCCGTGGCGGCTCGCACAGTAGCTGTCCATTCTCTGTCTTCGTCGTCGTCGTCGTCCTCGTCGTCGTCCTTGATTTTCTTTTTTTTGTCGGGATTGCCGTCGACGGCGTCAGAGGCGTTGATTTCATCTTCGTCAGCGGCTTCGGCTTTACGATCATCCTTGTAAACGTCGCTAGCGTTGACTTTGTCTTGGTCGTTGTCCCGCGACGAGCCGGGCTTCGATTCCGACTTTGGCGTCGACTGCACCTCGTCCAGCATCTCCTGTATCGTCGCGTGCATCAGCTCCGTAATCTCTTGCTGTTTGGCGTTCACCACGCTCATGAGGCTGTAGTAGAGCTCGTATTCTTTTTTTTGCGCGTACGCTATTCGTACCGGAGTGATTTGAATCTCTCGCGCCATGTCGAAGGCACTGAGCATGAATTTGCGCAGAGACGTCGTGTGCACGTCGTTGAGTTCGTTGCTCACGTTGACGAGGTAATTTTGCAAACAACCACGAATGAAATAAACGATCTTGTCTAGAAACAGATAGGATTGGACGATCATTCGATGAATCTCGACGACGGGTTCGCTGTTGTTGTTGTCAGCGATCTTACCGGGTTTGGTGCAGGAATCGAGCAGATCGCTCGACACCGAGCGCTCCTGATCCAGCCAAGCGCTGTGATCCACTTCGCTCGGCTCGCCCATGAAGCCCAAGCTCGTCAGTTGATCCATCCACGTCAATCCCAGCGAATTGATTTGTTCCAAGTCCAGGCCTTCGTCGTCCTGCTCCTTGACCGAATTCAGCCGACTTCGGGTGGGCGATTTAACGGACGAGTACTGAGTCGAGCACGACCTGAGCAGCGAGTCCTCCTCGGTGGTGATGATCGAGCTGCTGTCGTCGCTCCAGCCTTTGCTGTGCACCAAGAGCCGGCGCTGCTCGCTCTTCGTCAAGTCCGCGCTGTCGAGACTCTCGAGGCTGAGATTCGTCAGGGCCGAGACGAACAGCACCGGATTGTTCGGATAAGTCTCGCGCAACATTCGCAGCTCGTCCATCGCCTCGCTCGACAGCACCTCTTCGCCCAGAGCGTAGAGGAACACCGGCAAAAGCTTGAAATTGTTCTTGGTCAGCACGCGTATGGTGTTGGGCTTGCAGTCCGGAAGGACGAATATTTGTACGCCGTCTTTCAGCATGGGCTGATTGAGCTTGATCTCGAGCACGTGCGGACAGCACGGATCGACGTTGTCGTTCTCGGTCAACTGCTCGGCCGTCAAAGTGACCCATGTTTTGTCGTTTTCCGTTAGGTAATCGACCACCTCGTACTCGAGGCCAAGTGTGAGATTCGCGTAATTCGTAGGTCCGTGGGTGATCTTCATCCATCGCCACGTGCCTGCGTATGTTGGCAGTAACTCGGTCGAAAGGATGTGATTGACTAGGGTCGCTTTGGCTTTATTATTTTGACCGAATATCACTATCGCTGGATTGTTGTTCAGAAGATTTTCGACTTTGTCCAACGTCGTTGCCGGCAAAAGATCCTCGACGATATTTTCTGTGGAACGAAATTATTAAAGGTAAAATACATCGAGCTCAATGAGCGAAGGATTTTTAACGGCTCTACGATTGTCTGATTGATGGAGTGCAAAATCATCGTTTATATTACTCTATTATCAAAGTTTATGTAGTGAAAGAAATGTTATTGATTGGCAGAAGAGACTGGAAAGTCATCGCGAAAAATTTTAATTCATGAATAACTTTATCACTCATCTTTCTTGGAAATGAAAAATAAGAAATGCAAAATTAATCAAAGCTTTTGTGTCTTCACCATATCTTGGTTTAATAATAGTTTTTAATAAGCAAGTAAGTGCTTTTAATCATACCAAGATATTTTCTCTTTGCGTGTAAAATATTCCATAGTAAGACAACTGATTGTTCTGAACATTATAAAATTAATTTATAATCCTATAAATGAAGCTTATATTGAGTAATGGTAATAAAAATATCCATCATACCTCCAGGAAAAAAATTTTCCAAACTAATAGATTCCAGCACATGTTTGGTCTCTTTGAAAATTCTTCTGATATGATTTTTGTTACGGTTGAACTTCCGAAATTCGTGCGGTAATTTGCTTACCATTTTGGATACTATTCTTGTATAAAAATATGGGCCAAGTAATTATCATAACCTGGAACAGGAAGTAATGAATATAATGAAGAATTTCCAGGGAGAAGTCAAATTGAAATACTATAATGACATATTTATAATTATGAGATCCTGTCACATGCATTCTCAAATGATCAATTGCATGTGAGCTTTTTGACTTTAAGTTCAGTGACATTGAATGAGAGGTGGTATACTCAGTCCATTGTGAATTTCAATATTTCGACGGACTTTAATCTCAAATGTTTTCAGTTCACGGCATGTTTGAATATGTAAATGAGTTTTAATAAAAGGAAAGCTAGAGTTCGATTTTAAATAAGACAATGATGAATGAATTTAATGCTGAAATTTGATCATTTTTAATCTGGAAAGATAACTAAAATCTCCCTTGAGGCTTCTAAAAGCAACATGAAATTATTTATCAAATAAAATTTCAATGGTCTCAAAGTGATATGGAATAAGGCTTCTCAGCGAGTTAATGAATGTATAAAAAAAATAGTCTCAAACAACAGTGTGATAAGTCGTTTATCTGTTTGCAAGCATGCAGCATCCTATAATTATAACGAAGTTTTGCAACATAACTGAGCAAATACGAAGGAAAAAAAAATCAGACTTACCAAGGTGGTTTCATCAGCTGCTTTTTATCGTCTTCTTTTCAAAGTTTTGTCAATTGGGTTTTTTTTATACCAAACGTTCGAAGAGCACCAAAAATTAATAACTGTTAAGCCAAGATTCACGCTATAAGAGGCCTGCGGAAAGCTCGAGTAACATTTTCTCCCCTCGTAAATATCACATCGAGGTTTGTGCAATCGCTCTCGATTTATATTGTTATTATAAATCGCCGGTCTCACTTGATTCCGTACTTGGATCCAAAGTTTTTCTCATCACAAAAAACGATCGAGCTTAACGATGTAGTGACATCGGTGTAGCAAGAGCGTGGTTGTGCGGTATTAACAAGTGGTAGGTATATCACCGAGGCGATAAAAAAAAAACAAGGTAATCCCCGCTGCAGACAAGTGTCACCACAGCGTGTTTACCTGCTGCTCTACATGCACGTCGACGAACTCCACAATATAATAATTCCACAGAGGCACTGATAAACTTTGCACAACGATCGCGGTAACGTCGACGATGAGCGAGTTCCGTGGGCTGAACAAAAAATTCGCCTCGCACGCGCTCGTCCTCGTGCGCTCAGTTATTTATCCTTGAACGATATTTTACGCGCAGTACGACACTTTTCTTATCGCTGCAATGCAACTATGCTCACTGCACCAACACGAGAATAGAGAGAGAAAGAGGTAAACGCGGGTTATACACACAAGCGTGACGAAAGTCAGGCTTAGACTGGACTTGCAGCTCGCTCCGCTGCTCGACGGCAGTCAGCGAGCGAGCGAGCGGGAACATTCGGTCCCATTCGGTGGATTTGTGTGAGCCACGAGAGGCGCGCGCGCGCGGGCGCCTGTGCAAGACTCCGAAAGCCAGAGCGTCGAAACGGCAAGCGTGCGTTACTGCGGCGGCGTGGGCTCGCTCGGGGGAAGGGGTAGAACCGCATATAAAGTTACACACCAGAACGTTCGCCATCGTGTACGAAACACAGGGAAAAGCGGCCGCGTATACGAATACGTCGGCGCATACACTCACAATTATATACACTCGTATAGACGTATACACCGACTGGCGAGTAAACATGGCGCACGCATTCAGCAGTTTTTAGCATGTATGCGCCTCGATGATCGTGCCGTGGCTCTTGCCCTAGGTATATTCAACAATAATTCATATATCATTTACCATAATCGAGGTATGATTCGCGCGAAGCCGCTGTTGTCATTTTTAAAATGTCCTTATTTTCAGCGCCACGATAAGCTCCGAATCAAGTTGCCGAGTAACGTGAATAACGCTCTGTGTATTATCAGCACGCCTATAGTTAGAGAGAGCGAGAGAGATCGAGACTCGAGGAGCAGCGCTCACGGCAGCGAGTTTTCTTGGTTAGGTCGTCTGCTCCAAAATGGCTCCAGACCAGCTAGGAGCGTACTACGACAACACAACAATAGCTTGAGAGCCGCCAGGACGGAAAAGCCGGGCGGCATCGGCTACCCCGTGTATCGAGGCTCTATGTGCTACGAAAAACTCGGCCGACCTCATGGGATCGTTCGCTTGATCACGGTACTTTCCAAGATCTGCTAAGAAACACAGAAATTTGTTCAAAATGAGCAAGCTATCCTTCAGAGCACGTGCTCTCGATGCGTCCAAACCGATGCCAATTTACATGGCTGAGGAACTGCCCGACTTGCCGGACTATTCCGCGATCAACAGGGCAGTTCCTCAAATGCCAAGTGGTATGCAAAAGGAGGAAGAATGTGAACACCACCTTCAAAGAGCTATCTGTACAGGCCTCATCATTCCAACACCCGAAGTCACTAGCTTGACAGATGCTGACTCCTATGAGAAAATCTATCCTGGTGACTACAAACAGCCAAGGCAGTTGATTCACATGCAGCCCTTTGCTATGGAAAATGATATACCGGATTACGATATGGATTCTGAGGATGAAAATTGGGTGGCATCTCAGAGTCGTAAAATGGATATCACTGCCTTGCAGTTTGAAGAAATGATGGATAGATTGGAGAAAAGTTCAGGTCAAAAAGTTGTATCTCTCAGTGAAGCCAAAGCCCTTCTTAAAGAAGATGATGATTTGATCATCGCAGTATTTGATTATTGGTTGAACAAACGCTTGCTCACGCAACACCCTCTGCTCTTATCAGTGAAAACTGAACAAAGAGTTGGTATGGCAGCCAATAATCCTTACTTAGCCTTCAGGAGAAGAACTGAAAAAATGCAAACAAGGAAAAACCGTAAAAATGATGAAACTAGTTATGAAAAAATGCTCAAACTCAGAAGAGATCTTAGTAGGGCTGTCACTTTACTGGAAATGGTTAAAAAGAGGGAGAAAACCAAACGAGAATATTTACATCTAACGATTGAAATTTATGAAAAGAGGTATCAAGCACAAGACTTCAGTGGGTCTCTGTTGTCTGAAGTTACTACAGTCAAGTCACCTAGACCAGCTTTTGCTCCCATCTTTACCAATCAATTTGGAACTCATCAAAATTGGACCAACAGAACTCACGCAAAAGAAACAACTCAACAAAGAAAAGAAAAAAGGCAATATCGCAAAAGAAAATTCAAAGATAACAAAAGTAGGGATACCTTGGTCAATGAAATACATAATGGTACTAGAGATTCAGATTATCGTGCATTTGGTAGTGGTTTGGAATCATTAGCTAGTTCAGATGAAGAAGATAGTGCTTTAAGAACTTCACAGACATTCTTTTCAGAAAACGAAGAAGAAATAGTGGATGATGGTTTATATGTGTTCAAACGTAATAGGCATAATAATTATTTGGCTCCTCTCCCTACTGGACTAGGGTGTAGGCATGGCTCATCCAATGGAGATCTTAATAATAAACATAAGTACTCTATGACTAGTATTAATAAACCAACACTCAAATGCATCGGTCTAGCAAGGAGAAGGATAGGTCGTGGGGGCAGAGTGATTCTTGACAGATTATCTCACAACATAGATGATTTATGGGGTTCTTTAGGCTTTACGATTCATAAATCTAAGCAAGATACATTAGGCTCAACCAGTCCTAAAGTACCTGACTCTGAAGTGAAAGAATTGCATTATCGGCCTAAAACAATGGTATATCCGGATAACCATAATGTCAGTGAAGAGAGTAGTGAAAGCGAAAATGATGATAATATGTCAGAGAAATCAACTCCTGGATCTACATATCCTTTCCCAGCTGAAGCAGCATCAATTTGTATAGACATTGAACCAAGTCCAATGGAAAGTGATACTTCTTTCAGTGCTGAATTTAACATAGGAGATTATTTTTCAATGGACAGTGTAACAAACTTTGAAAACGATCTTATGAATTGTGATAATTTTGACTACACTGACTTGGGTTGCTCAAAATTTTCGATTCCGTCAGATGCACCGAAAATTTTCGCAACACCGACACACTCTCAAAACAGTGAGTCATTCAGTAATAAAACTGTAAATATTGAAAGTGCGCCAGTGCGTCCTGAAGTGAAAAGTTAAGTTTTTTCTTATTTTTGAAGTAGGACAAACGCGATCATGCTTGTGAATTTAGCGACTCAAATGATTGTGTGAATAAGTTCGCTAGTATTGTGTAATTTGTATAATTAAATTATTGTCATCAACTTGAGACTTAATCAATTGGTCTTGATGATTGTTATGAATAGTGTTTATTTTTAGATGTAACTTCTGTACCATATGCATAGGTAAAGGAATGAAAAAAGACACTTGTTTACTTATGTTTGATAAGTTTCTATTATTCTTGATAATGAATCAGAATTAAAATACAATTGTAATAATAATATTTATAATACGATAGTATTAAAAAGTAATAATAGTGTAAATATACATAATAAACGTCACAACTACATAACATTAAAGCATTCCTTTCTTGTTTCTATTTACAATATACAAATTCAAATAATATACAAAAATAATGGATTGGGCGCAATTTACGAGAGCTCAAATCCAGTGCTGCTGGTAACGGCGTAGCGCAGCTTGTCTCGCAGAGTGCACTTTTTACGATAATTTGGCAATTTGAGCAAATTGAAGCAGGTCGACGAAGTTGGCAGACGGTTTTGGGGGTCTTTTTTTCTTATTGTAAAAAAACCACGTATGACGCTACCGATCGTATCGCCAGTGTCTTCGTCGTCGCTGACTTCGATGCATCTGATGGAAAAGGGTGGATCCAAATAAGCGAAACCGAGCAACGGTGGCTTCGAGCAGCTCGTGACGAATTTCAAAAATAGTCCTCGCTCGCGTTCGGTGAAGTCCTTCTCGAGAATTTCCCAGAGCCAGCGTACGACTCGGTGCTTGTCGTGAAAGCCGCCGTAGTATTGCGTGTACTTGCGCAGATCCGAAAGATCGACAGGAATGTTGTCGCCGGATATGAGTCGCTGCCATTCCGGGGTCGAAAAAATGGTAAGCCATTCTTGTTTGATAATCGATCGGAATCCCTTGGTAAAGGCCGTTATCTGGTGCTTTATCTGTTCGTACATGCGGAAGTGTGCCATAAGGTGTATGTAGTTAATCTTGTTCTCGTTGGTGACCGGCACGGCTTTGCCGCCCGATTTCAGTTCGAAGGTCTGGATATCGCCCATTACGCTCTCGTCCAAGGAAAATGTCAGTCCCAACTCGGCCACATCACCGTCGTAGTGCTTGACGAGGGTCAAGCTCTTGTAAAGGTCCTTGTCGAGTGACGCCAGCTCGTCGAACCAACTGTGCAGCAGACTTGCGGACTGGCCGCAAAACTGCGAGACGAAGAACGAGGCAAAAGGCACGTCGACGACAATACCTTCGTAAACGGCTTTGCCAAGCATCCGACCGATGAATTCGAACAGCAACAGATGATTATCTTGCAGATGTGACGAGGACGACGGGTACAGTCGATTGTCGTCCGTTACTTTGAACAGGTTGAAGTTCGGGTCGAACACGCGTTTGATAATTTCTTCGAGGAATTCCTTGAACACGCCGTCCTGATCTATTCCAGCTTCGTCGAGTCCCTGCTCGTTAACGAATCTTACTCTGATGACTCCCTTCAAGGAGCGGGGACTCAGTACGGATAATTGCCTGTAGCCGTCTTCGACGATTTTCGACCTGTGCACAGTGATGAGGGTCGCTGGCAGACTATTTCTCGAGCTGCTGCTGCTCGACAGGCCCATCGATTCTTTCTCGTCCGTCACGTAATTACGAAACAGTCGAACCCGCTCGTTGTGCGGCAAAATATGTGGCATTATCGATAATATCACAGTGGCTTTGCGCTTGCCCTTCTTCAGATCTGTGAGGAAGTTCGAAACTCGTACATCTTTTATCAGCCAATGATCTTCAGGGCAAAAAGCCTTTTGGCAGTCACGTCGATATATTGTCATTAATAAATTACGTACTGACGTGAAAACTGAACTCCAAGATACGGTGACATCGTCGATCAATCCGTAGAATATTGACTTGTAGAGGAATTGATTTAAAAACTGTGATATAAGTAAAAAGTCGCTCAATTTGAATGGATGCTGTTTCTCGTACATTTCTATATCATCCAAAATTATTACGTAATGTGTCATACAATCACAAAACAGTATGAGCATCTCAAACTCAACAGCTGTGCCTTGTGGATTACCTGGGAATAAATTCAAAAATGCAGAAAGGCCACAGTCTGGTCCTAAAGTTCTGAAAAATAACCATAAGTTATATAAAATATTGTCTTCTTGATAGCAAAGTCCTGTTAAAATTGTGGATTTCATTTCTTTCAATGTACACAGAGCTGTATAATATAAGGAGCAAGCTTGAGCTATTTTATTTGACTCTGAACTTCCAAATTCATTAAAGTTTTTTCCAATGTTGCCTTTTTTTGAACTGATTCCTAAAGCTGCCTTTGAGAATATTGGTCTTTTACCATTTGAATTTTGTGGGTCCTGCAGCATTTTAACTGATTTACTTATAATTTCACTGATAGGCAAGCTTAGAAGTTTTGTAACTATTTTTCCAGTCCATAGTCTAGATAGCTGAACTTTGATCAATGGAATAGTATCTTGCATGTATGGCTCTTCGGCTTGCTCAAACCATCCCAATATTGGATGCCAATAGGTGGTGTGACTTGTTTTGGTTACAACATATTTCTGGCACATTGTTAACATGTTAGAAATGACATGAGTAAAATCAGAAGCAACTTCTTCGATTAAGCTCTCTTCCTCCATATAAGCTAGCTCCATTAGGTTGGCCATTAAACATAAATAATGATTGCTGCTTAGTGTGCTATGTATCTCCCGCACATTTTTATTTGACTTTAATAAATGTATACTTTGAGAAAAAATATTGTTTTGTTTTATCAAAGAAATACAAGCTGATTGATCTTTATGATTAAGATGATACACCAGCGAAGGTACACTAAAAATAAACATTACAAATTTCAACAATAAATCATCTCCTACATTTGAAAAAATTAAAGGTCTTATTGTTAGTGTGATGATTGCTGTCAGAGCTACTGGCTGCAAACTTATATTTTTTCTGCATAATCCTTTGATCAATAATGTTTGCATGATAGGATAAAAGTTGTTCTTTACCAAGTGACCTGTAATATTGGAGCAAAGTTGGTTCATACCTGCTTTTAGTTTGCTCAATTCTTGCACCCTCATGATTGCCCATGACTGTGTAGATGTAAAACTTACAATGGTATTCAATCTTAAAAGAATGCACTTATAATCAGTAAAGCGCTCTGGTTGTAAATCTTCAAGCTCTATTAAACAATAATAAAGAATTTTTTTGACTTGAGCTATCCACAGAAGGTAGCGATCCTTTATAAGTGCAACTCCAATATAAGAAAGTTTAATGGAATCCGACTCTAAACTATGAAGTAGATATTTGCACACGTTGTCCAATTTTTCCTTATCTCGCTTTTTTTTGTAAATTTGTAAAAACTTGTCAAGGATATCATAGACTTCAGCTGCTGGTTTGAGCTTGATCTTACTACTATCTTCTGAGCTTATAAACAAGTTGTCAAATTTTTTAAACATATCTGTAATATCTCTTTTTCGTTCCAGCCAACATCGGACGCATTTCTGTATTTTTATAGCAGCTAATTCTTTGTTTTTTTCATTAGCACGCTCCTCGCGAGCGTTTTTGGTCTTTTGCAAAAAATCTTCCTTAGACGGCTCGTTTGTTTCCAACATTTTGATACTGTTATTTAATTTCGGAAGTGCCAAATAAACGAGTAAATGATTCAATTCTTATACTACTACACCAGTACTAGCTCGTTAAAATTAGCATGGTACAATTTTGAAAATGGACAATAGTCGTTAGATTGTCTAAATGATGACTGAATTCGTTCTTGTAAAACATTATTTACGTTCTTTTTTAATATTTGTCTAGTCAAACATGTCTAGTACTTGTAGTCGAAAAGATACCAAAATCAAACTATCATTGATATGGCTGTGAATATGTACAGCCACTAAACTGCCAAATGAGCAAGTCAGTCCAACGATCCGGATCTTGGTACAAATAAAAGAAAATCTGCGGCGTGCAGACAATAACAAAATAAACGAAACAGAGACACTAGCGCTAACTAGCGCACCGTTTGAAACTTACAAATGCGGGATTAGAAAATATTTGAAATTTTTATTATCTCATTTAAACACGGATAATTAAGTGATATTTTATGATTTCAAATAAATTAGAATAGCAACTTAACAATGAATGTTCTATTTTATTTAATTCCTTTTAATTAAACTTCCAAAATAATTATAATTTACCGACCAATGACATATAAGTGCGAATCGTGTATCATTGCGCATGGGGTGCAGACTGCAGACTACTCAGTTCAGTCATCAGTGCTCAATGTACGCCATCAGAGACGACAGTAAAAAGGTTAAGTTACTGTAAATATTCTAGCAAGAAGCGAGCGTTTGAAATTGTTAATTAAACTTTTTGAAGCTGAAACGAGTAATTACTATCATACTTATTTAAAATGACCTCGGCTGTGGAATCAATGGTCGTCGATGAGAAGCAACAAACAGATAAGCCGGTCGACAGAGAAAAGGTATAAAGCTGGGGAGATGGCAATAAGTATGAAATCGTCTCACTTGATTTTACTATTGACTATTAATTTGCAAAATTGTATAAATTATAGACTTGCCCCCTATTGTTGAGAGTATTTTGCAACACTGGAAAACATCATAACATCAATGAATATACTAGAGGCAATCTTCCTTCAAATGAACTTCAAATTTATACTTGGTAAGAATTTAATACTGGGAACTTGCAATATTATTAGTCTTAAAAATGTTAGTTCATACGTTATTTATTTGACTTGCTCTTAGGATGGATGCGACATTAAGGGAAATCACAGGCTTGGTTAAAGAAGTTAATCCTGACGCTAGAAGTAAAGGAACTTATTTTGATTTTTCGCTTGTTACTCCTGAATTAAGATCACCTGGTTACAGAATGCGTGAGATTGGTGTGACATGTTCAGGTGCTAAAGGTGCAGAAGATAATAAAACTCTAGCTCAAGCAAGGTTGATTATTAAATTTTATTATTTAACTCAATGCGATAAAAGTAGTTATATTTCAATTTATTTCATTAGATTCACAATTGGAGACTACCTGGATATCTCTATTACTCCACCAAATAGAGCACAACCACCTGGCCGTCGAGGAGGAAATTTTAGACAGTACTGACAGAAGAAAAATAAGCTTTTAAAGTAAGGTTTTCCTGTTTCATTAACATTAACTTCATGCAGTTGATTACTTTTATTTCTATCAATTCAGAGTGTTAAATGTGGACAGAAGATCATTGATTTAACTGTAAAAAGTGATAATTAAGATGAACTGTAATGCTCAGTGGACTAAATATGTTATATATCTGCATCAGATGAAATCCCGCGAATTGCGTATCTATGTAAAACTATAGCACAGCTATTTACAGCTATTGTATTCAATTTACTTTTTAATTTTAGGAATTAAATATTATCTTAAAATGAAAGTTGTAAGGAAAAGTGTGAATTAATTTTTTTATTTTTAAAGAAAGGACATTTCAAATATTATTAATCAAATATTAATAAAGGAAATATGTGAAAGAAACTTTTATGATGAGTTGAATTTTTCATAAATCGTATATTTTTAGGTAAATACCTAATGCCTCGTCAATAAATTGATTATTTACAGAAAAGTCTTCTATGTGTCGTACATTAGTTAATTTTACACAATACATAGATCTTAAAAGTTAGGAGCATTGCGATACAAGTGAAATATTTCCCAAAAAATGGCACTGAATCGTCCACTTAACGATCATATTCTGTTTATTCTTCCACATAACAACATAAATTATCAATTATAATGTATAGCTTCAACATTATCATCATTTTTTTTCTTTTTTTTTCACATTTAATATCCGCTTCGATTTTTCAAGGGCGACAAGTGGATTAATGAATTGTCGCGTGTGTCTGAATTTGAAAGCTTGCGCAATTTGAAACTTAATATTATATTTATAATTATATTTTTTCTCACGTAAATCGATGATGGATGTAAATGTATTTTCTTGTCAGTTACAAAAATATGTCAATAAACCTACAATACAACAGACTATTATTTATTTTGAAACTTTGTGATGAAAAGTGCAGTGTGTGTACATAAAAGTACGTAAGAAACAAGATGATGTTTTGATTTGTCTAGATTGTTTATGTAGCATAAAAAAAAGTAACACACATACTTATGTCATACATTCACATCAGCATCCATCATCAGAATAAAATGGATTATGACTGTCCCATTTTAATGTTTTTTTTGTCATATTTGCGATTGAACACACGCGAGTCAAAGCACGAAAATAGTTATTTTATAACCATTATAATTTAAGTTTAATTAAAAGATTCTAAAAGCGCATTTATCGTAAGAACTACGTATCTTTTTCGTACTTTGACCAATTGATATCTTGTTTATTTTTTACTTTATGATGATTACAGTAGTAGTGTAGAGGTGGGAAAGATGCAGAGTATACAGTTATCACACTTTTATGTAGTCGAAGCATGACATCGACTGATTCTTTGAGATTATTTAATATACATAAATATTTTTTATTGCTACAGAGGTCTTGATCCAGTCTTCGAGAGGATCCAATTACTCATTTAAAGAAAAAACTGGAACAATTTATGCATCTGTGTTTTTTATGATCGTTATGCTTCTAATTCCAGTAAATAAATACTATTTACAATTCATATAGACTGATGAAAAATCATTTGATAAAAAATGATAATCCACTCAATATAATAAATATATATATGTACAAATGTCCATTTCGACAGGAGTACTTAGTACGCATGATTATACATTTTTAATGTCAATCGGAGTTCGCATTACTATTTTTATACATAAAACTACAGACATTTACAAAAAAAAATGTGTATAAACTATCTTATTCTCTACATACGATAACAATAACAACAATAAACTTTGTAACACGAGTCAAAGAATGAAAAAAAAATTACGGCTGCATTTTATAGATCAAAACCCCTGGATTTTTAAAAAAGTTCCTACAATTTTTCGTCCGTAATGATATACAGCAGATTCTTGATTTTCAATTCCACCTACTCATACGTACGGCATTTTTTTATTTATATTACCACCATATATAAAAAGGTAAAAACTAGAGAATTATCAAATAATGCGTGAAAAAATACTTTGTGTTTTTTCTTTCCTTTCGTTTTCTTATGCGATACACATTCTTTTAACTTGTTATCAATAAAAAATTGAGCTATGATTATTACACTTTAGCAAAACCAACCCCTTTTAAGACATGCGATTACTTAAATGCATAGTTTTAATTTTTTCATGCTTTTGGTAACAAATAGTACTGCATTTTTCTTTCATTGAAACCATGCAAATATTTATGAAAACATTATACATTTTTTTAATATAGCGATGATGCAAGAAAAATTGGAATGTTATATGTATCTTTGACTACGATAATTTTCAATTCATTCATTTTTCTGCCACTTAAAAATTACTCACGTCGTATTTAGTATTCTTTTCCCATCGATCCTCAATTTTTTTTAAAAGGGTATAATGGCATAGTTTTATATATATATTTTTTATAATATTTCTGACTACTGCCCAGATATTGATTGGTACTTATACGATTAAAAATTGTCTGAATCTTCTTTAAATAGATTGTACATTGGTTGATTGGAACAGATTTTCAAGTGAACATTTTCGTTCTAAGCCGGCTTCCATGAAATATTCAAATACCAGTTATTACCCTTAAAAAACGAGTAAACTTTAGCGTTATTAATTTGAGTTACTTTTACTTGTATTACTAATACTTGTAAAAAAAATCGTGTTCCGTTCTCACATTTTTTTTCTTTATTTTCAATCGTGAAAGTCACTGGAAAAAGTTGCCATACACGTATGTAATAATTTATGTCATTTGATTTTCATCTATAATATTTATCCAAATGCTATACATTATAATTTTAAAATTAAATCAGTCTAATTGCGTATTTTTTTCTACATTTTTACAGTGTCTTGAACTTTTCCGAATAACTTTTTGCTCGTTTTTGACTTTTGATGAAAGTTGTACGATTCTTCCAAAGAATCCAGTCAGAATATAAAATTTCAAGTTTATTTTTTCGGAAGTACCCCAAAATTTCGTGAAACTTAGCTCTGAATAATATTCTTTGCCTACTAAATTTTTTTTCTTAAAATGCTATACGTATACGGATATAATGTGTATTTAATTTTCAAAGTGCATATACGCAGTGATTTAAATTTATTCCACAATTTTTTTTTACCTTTAATTAATTATTAATTGATTTTTTTTTTACTTTTAATATCGTATTGATGATGGATTGAATAGTCTAGTCGTTAATTTATCTGCAGTCAATTGAAAAAATTGTTCTTACAATGGGCGGATGCTAGATAACTTGTCACGTGCCCAACAACAATTACATCTCTAATCGAAAAATTCAGTTTAAGTCCATTACATTATCATATTATATTTACTTATCAAAACCGCAACTTTTGCATACTTTGTATGTTAAACGTGCGATGTCTATACTTTTCGAACATGTACGTGCCGTTTCTAATTATACGGAGGTCGTTCGGAAGACTCTCCAAGTACAATTTTCACCAACACCTACCAAATGATTTTTTTACGTGTAAAAATTTCCGATTTGTCCCTACCTCGATGAATTAGATTTTTTAAAAATGAGACAAATTAAACTTGAGGTAAATGCAAAAATGGATAAATAACAATAACATCAACAATAATAATCACGATTGTACATCAAAATGCATCGAAGAAAATGTAATAGAGGCAAATCCAAAAATTTTTTACTCCACGAAATCGACGGCGCTTGTCTTCAACGTTTTACTAAATTTAATTAATAAGAATTCATTAAGCACTAGAAATTTATTTTCATCTGATAAAAGAAAACGTCTATGCTATTGTAAGGTTAAAACTTATCTACTATTTAAAAGCTCAATCATAATTGAAATTAGAATTCGTACAATTTATTATGAAAATATAAATTTACTTTCGCGAATATTTCTGGCTAATAGAATTGGGTTGTTTTTCAAACAACTAATAATAACATAAACAATATATTTACAAAATGATTCTTAAACGAAAAACAGCAAAAAAAGTTGATTGCTCATTCGATTAAATGAATGGTAAAATTTATTATACATACCGCTGACGAATCTTTGACTTCTTACAGCTGGTAAAACTATATGTACAAATGACCTATGAAAATTCTCAGTAATTAAATTTAGCGAAACATTTTGTAACGCAGATTCGTTTCAATGCATTGTACTTTCAAGCCTAATGATATGCATCAAATGCATGCAAAAAGTCTCTTTGCTTCGAGAGAAAACCACATGGAACACAAAATTGTCTCACTAAATATAAATTCGAATTCTAACAAATAGTTATCTAATTTTTATACACGGACACATTTGCTCGAAGGTCGCTTGGCCACCTCGCCATTACATTCTATACATTTACAAATATTACGCTAGTTACGCTTATAATCACTACGCTTGATAATTTCTCGAAAGTGTTTTTACTTTTTGGCGTGAAGTGCAAATCGAGGGGCTTGCAATCGATGATACGACGATTAAGGAAGAGAGGCAAGTTTACATACATATAAATATGGATTGATTATTACAGTTCTCGTACTCTCACGCGCTTTCACTTGCTGTCCCTATACACAAAGTTATGCTCATACGTTAGTCGAAATATACATACAAGAAATCGAGGCTCCAATACTCTTAACATAGTATTTTACTTCTCTTTTTTTTATGCTTCATAAATATGTATAATGTTCTAAAATGCGCGTAATGTATATACCTATATATATTTGATTTTTGTTCGTGCTTCCTTTTTCTTTATTTCATTGTAATTTGTGTTCGTATCGTATATACTAATAATATGTAGAGCTCGTCAAATATATATCGTTGTTTGCGTTAATTGCTTGTTTTCAAAGATATGGATGAGTCGCCCTGTTGCACGTTCCAACACACTTTTGCACGCACTGATTTCTTTCGTCGTCGTTTAATGTCAATTTTGGCAAGGGCTGCTTTTGATTTGCATTTCTTTTCTCTCCTTTTCTCATCGAGTCCTGGCGATCGTCTTTAGTGGCTGATCATGTACAACGTAACCTGCAGAAACAAATCTGAATCTTGGATTTTTTCGTTAGTCTTTCTGCAAATCAGCCGATAGTGCCGTGCCCCGTGCGTGTGTTGAAAATTTTTTTTTCTCTTAAACATTTATTTGTGCTTCAGCCAGGAATGTTTGCGATCGAGCGCTTATTAGTCGATTGCTCCGATCAAAGAGTACAACTGCAGTGAGAAAAAATTCAATATTTATAGCCGCTGCAATAACCGAGCATGATTTCGCAGCTGCGAGCGAGCCACGGTACCGTACCTACCTAACGACAGAAAGTCCGCCAGTCTGCATTAAAACCAGGGCGGCAATTGATCGAGGCGTTGTCCAGCGCCCACCCCGAGCGACTACGCGTCATCGGGTAACTGGACCTCGGCGGCCATGGACAGGTCCTCGGCCATGTCCTCGTCGGGGCCGGAGTCGTGTCCTTGGCTCTCCGGATAATCGCGGTCGTCGTTGATGCAGGCCTCGTCCTCGGGGTCGTGTTCGACTGGGCCCTCCATCTTTATCAACCTCGATAGTTTGCCGCCTTCGGGACTCTGTCCTTCGCGCTTTATGTGCATGCTCGAGTCATCCATTAACGGGGAGTTCCTGCATAATTTTTCATATTATATTCGACTAGACGTGAATTTTTCCATGAACAGTTTTCAACCTACATTAGATCGTTGTGGCTCATATTGTGATCTTTGTCTGGGCTGCCAGCTGTCGACGTACACATGGCATTGTTCAAAAATCCCATATTAGACTCGCCGAGTGCGGCCTGAAAATACTTTACAAACAAAATGCATTTCTTCGTTCCTCCAATTACTATCTAGAATAATTTTTTCATCTTAGATACCTGAAGATTGACATTCAAAGCGTCACCGTACATCGTTGGACTGTGTGTGAGTGTCGGGCTCTTCGAAGGTACACCTCTAAATGGTGAACAACAGAAAAAACCACTAATCAATTTTTTAATCGATTTTCTTTGAGGTGCATATTATTTATATTAGAGAAAATAGTTTGTGTGTGGGTATATGTGGGGGATGTGCGTGTATGATTGTATGAGTGAATCGTTCAATTGGTTTCGAATATTAATGTAAAAAATGGAATATTAAAATTTAAATTTATGTAAATATAGATATATGAAAAGATATATTATAAAGTAGATAAAAATTGGGATCAGAAAATGGAACACATAAGTATATATATTTATAAAAAGAGAAAAAGATTTTCAAATATTAATATAAGATATGAATAGAAAAATTTGAAAAGCGACATATAAATTATTCTAAGAGTATATTATATAAAGCACAAACATGTAATATAATGAAGAGAGATAAAAATATGAAAAAGTAGAAAAAGTGAATCAATGATTTTTCATAAATATAAATATTATACATATACATAAAGCATATTCATTAAATTATACTATTTAATATGTTTTATATATATTATATATCTAAGTATTTACGACTTGAAAAAAATGTAATAATAATAAGTAGTTCAAATAGATAGAATTAAATTTGAAAAATAGAACAAACTACATGATTACCTATGACCTTTCGTGTGAGTCATGACCCAGGACAGGAGCGATATTAGATTGAGTGTACAGATTTACAGAAGATTAAAAATTTAAAGAGAATTCGGCCTCGTTGCTTCGTTTTTTTTCATGAAAACTTAATTAATGTACAATATTTTAACGAAACTTGAAGCAAAATGCGTCACTTATAAACGGCCCAAGAGTTTACCTTGGAACGATCTTTCTCGCTCCCTCGCTTCGTCTCTGACTCGGTCCGTGCGTTGAAAAATGTCCGAGAGCAAAAATTGTGTATACATCTGTCAAAATATACACGCGCGAGCTCTTGCAAATAACTGCGCAGTTTAGATGAGTGTTTGAAAAAACAATTAGAATAAATATTGAGCGTGAGTCGTTTACAAGATACGCCGAAAATAGTAACAACATGCATTATTGTTAATCTTTGCCTTGAAGCCGTTTATGAAGATGACGCTGTCCGAGGCTCAAAAAGTTACATTTAAAAGTAGTAATATTAAAAATTTTAAGATAGAGAGAAATGTCAAAAATACATTAAGATATGGTAAAAATTTATAAAATTTAATAACTAGTACTTAATAATAATGAATATAAATAAGCTTAAGATATAAAAGTTTAAACATTAGAAAAAATTCTGAATGGCCTCGAGATCTTCGAGTAATTTATTGCTTATTATATGGATTTATCTCAATTATTATATGTTAAAAGTCATTAATGGTACCTTGAGTAATGACGAAGTCTCTCACCTCCACCTAGCAGCCCCGCATCAGCTTTCTTATTTTTCACAATAGCACACGTCACACATTATTAAGTACATTTATGCCAAAAGCAGGTGAAGCCCCGACATTCGAGAAGCATCTACACGTAGCAATTACACGTGCACGCTATAATCGCAGATATTTTTCTCATAATTTTTGTTTCAAATTTTTAGGACATTGTGAAAATACCTGCGATTCGTGCGATAATCTTGTGATTAAAAAATACGAGCAAGCCATGCTGAAAAAAGCATTCACTCCTCAAAAATAAATTCTCATTTAGCAGTAATAAAAGCGTAAAAAAATATGCTAGCGACTAACAGAGGATAACGATCAAGGATATGGATTATTATTCAAGTACAATTAACCCGCAACGATTTAGACTACTATCAGAGAATAGTGTTATCTTCGGATCGAGATCGTGCGGATTTTCGTGTACGAAAGTATCTATTAGCATGAGCTAAAAAAAATCTATGAAAGCAACTTAAAATTAACAATAACGCTTTGAAATTTGCAGAAGCAAAAAAGAACCTAACTTTACAATACAAAATCAAGTATCTATTTATGCTCTGAGCGATTCCGAAGGTTGTGCATTAAATACACGTAATTTGGTCTATTTTATATTTTAGATCGATTAATACATTTACATCGAACAATGCTAAGCTTCAGAGAGGGCTTCAGCGTGAAACAATTTTTTTCTGATCGCTCGTTGTTACAATGTTTAATTTTGAATTTAGTTTCTCGCAAAGCCACTCAATGGATACAAATAATGCAAGAAATTCTAAACGACAACGAAGTATAGGAGCAAATAAAAAACTCTGAAAGGGAAAAGGTAAAGAAGAGAGCGATAAAGAGAGAGAAAAATTGGAAAAAATCATAGAGAAGAAAAAAATCAGGGTGCAAAGTAGAATGCATTAAAAAAATCAAATCATTGAAATGGACAATGATAACCAAACTTTTTGAAATGATTTTATAATAAACTTTAAAAATCATTGGTTTTTAATTGGGTTGAGAAAATTTTATCATATTATTTTTATTAAAATTCGTGAAGTTATGTACAGCCAAAAACTATACGATTAAAATTAAAAAGAACAATTGGGTTAGAATAAAAAATAAAAGTGAATGAATAAAAACGAGAAAGAGATCGGACGATGCAAACATTGATAGCAAGACGGACTACGTCGGATTCACGCCTTTTTTTAACAGTACATCTTTAAGTGTTTTTTTTTTTATATATTAATATCAGCCAGCAGCGCAGTAATTTTTTTTTTTCTAAAATAGTGGTAGTGCTTACTGTGCGGAGTGGGGTGGAGTGGGTGATGGGGTTGGGTCATATTTCCTGGGGCGGCCGCGAGACAGATGTCGCCGCTTTACGAACTCGGCGTCGTCCACCATCCAGAATGACCCGAAGTCGTCCTCATAGCGCACAAAACACTTGTGCAACGATAGATTGGTGCGGATCGCGTTCTGTATACACAGATAAAAAAGACCACCAAGAAATAGAGAAAAGAGAGTACAAACAAAATTCAGATGGTTTTTGTTTTTCTAGCTGTTCAAATTAAATAAAATTATTTTTTTAATTGCCTTCGCTGTAATAAAAAAATTCAATGATTTTCATTTCTCCTTCTGCAGGAACTTGCTGAATATGCCTTGGAAGAAATTATGGGAAAAGAAAATGGCTTCACAAAGAGCCTTTGTCACGAGTTCGTTTAATTTAATAGGGATATTTTTAGATTATCCATTTTCTTATCATATACTCACTGATGAATCGTATCATAGATAGAAAAGAATGCTACAATTTTGACGCGATAAACATGCATCTTTGAAAGCAATTTTCTTTTCGAACGATTAATATTTAATAATTTTATAGTTATTCTTAGATCAAATGACTATCTTAAGACGACTTCATCCCTACGTATTTTATAAATTAACAACTAAATGCCTCTCTTTTATTCTCTGTTTTTGGCTTTTTTTCATTTTCCGACGGTGTGACAATGTGCGTGCATGTTTCAAACACTTTTTTATAAATTATAACGACTCTTTTAACGAGGAAAAGAGAAAAGAGATAGAGGCAAGTAGTAAATAATGCAAGATATCATAAACTTTGTGTGCGAGAGGAAAGATAAGTGGTACATGGAAATTTTGCTATTCAATTAAATCACTCTCTTACTAAAAGTCACGCTTAAAAATCCAAAAAAATCTTCTCTTCCGTCTCTTGTTTACGAACAAAAGAAGAAACGGAAGAAGAACTCGTACTTCTTATTAAGGTATTGATTTGCTATTTTATTCTCTTTCCATTCGTAATCATTGTAATGCACACTTCTAATAGATTTATAAACACATTTGCACACACACTAACAAAGTATTTAAATTTATGTATACAAATTTCAATAAACAGGCATTCAAGAAGATTTAAAAATCTAATATAAATAATCGAAAGAGACTGGCACTGTTAGTCGCTGCAAAGCTCGCATGCTTGTTAAAGATTCCTGTCCGCTCTCAACTCTCATACACACTCACAACCCCTCATTTTCATGTATCACATTTTTTAATGCAGCAGACTCACAACAGGTAGTCTCTTAAAATATTAAAATTATAGTTTCACCAAGTCGAGTTTGAATATTGCTATAAAAAAATTACTTATAAGAAATAAAACATGCATTCAATGCAATATAAAAACTAATTTACAAATTATTTAATCAATTGAAATTGGCATTGATCAGAGTAACTTTAAAATATGAAAATGAAAATAAGTTATATTAAAAGTTGGCATATAATAAGAATATAATATAAGATAAAGTTTAAATTGCGATGATAGCCATTTATTGCAAACTGTTCAAAAGCAAGCTTCTCGACTTGGAGGTTTTGTGAACTATTTTTCACGAACAATAAATATAAAAAACAACAAGTTTAAAAATGTGAAACAATTCAAGCTACATTAGATTAAAAAAGCTAGAGATTATAATTTAAAAACACATATAGTAAAAAGTTGTAGACCCTATGACGAAAATGTCACAGGATAAAAATTTAAGGTAAAATCTACATAGAAGAAAAACACATAAAAATAGTTAAAAATGTGCAATCAAGTTCAAAAGTGTTTAATATAATATAAAAGCTTCTGACGCCAAACTTTTAAGCAATATAATACGATATTTGATCGATCTCAGTTTGACGCCACTTGTTAATTAAGATTAAAAAGCAGGTGAAATTCTAATAGTGATTTCTATATTAAAAGAGTTAAAGTTTGGCAAAATGTTTAGAGAATAAATATATCAAGTTATTAAAAAGTGTGATGATCTAATTTGTGACTAGAGAAAATACATAAAAAGAGATAAAACTTGTGAAAGCGTGTACACCAATATGATGTTATTTGTACATGTAAAATGAAGGCTACGTTTCTATGAGAAAAATAAATCGGTGTATTTTATAAAAAAAAGCGTAGAAGTTGTATGTGTTGGTTATTTTAAAATGAGCAGAATAGATAAATGTTGTAATGACTTTGTAATCAATTTTATGAAAATTTATAGTGTCTGCAATTCGTTTTGTAAAAATAAAAGAATAATGGATACAATAGAGTAAAGGGGTTGAAGACTATTTAAAAAATTGTGTATTCGTCAGAACTATATTAATAGAATATAAATGTATCTACTCAAGTGAACATAAGAAATTTCAAACAATCAATCGTACTGCAATTTTCGATAGCATCAACAATTTTTAATTCTTAGCTAAAATTTTAAAAAATAAGAAACAAATGAACGATTGGTTGTTTTCAATTAAATTGTTTTAAATACAGCACCATAGGATTGGTTGGATTCAAGAAAGTTAAGTATAAATTTTAATAGATATAAAAATGTGTAAAAGATTAAAATTTAATATAATAAATACCATGAAAAATTTGAATAAATTTATGAGTAAATGTATAAATTTTAAAGAATTTGATGTAAAAAATATGAGTGAAAAAAGTAACGCGTAACTGTCGCTATTCATGATGAAGATAATAGGGAATAGTATAATAATATAATATAAGAAAAAGTCGAAATTTTCTGAGAAAAAGGGGAAATGTCGATAATATATAAATAGATATATTTTTGAGGGTATTGAAAAATTTTTTGATTTCTGTAATTGTTTGTTGCGGGGGCCAACGTACCCAGTCGTGCTGCAAGCGCGTTGAGGGCGTCTCTTGTAAAACTCCACCTCGTCCACCGTCCATACGGCCCCCTTCACGTTTTCAACTCGCATGAAACATTTGTGGAGAGACAGGTTGTGTCGTACTGCGTTCTATACAAAATAATAACAATAGACTAAATAAGCAACGCAACATAAAATCAACTAAGCCCAACTCAATCGCGACTCAGCCGCGGAAGTCGGATCGGATGATTCAAACTTTTTACCAAAAACAAAATCAAAACAATAAATCGAAATAATTGATAAATAAAAATATTAATTCCTTATGATTTTGCCTTCAGCTTCTCATAGTCGGCTTATTTGTCATAATTTGCTGTGACTATGTGAAACTTTTCAACTCAAAGTATTTGATATAAAAATAACTAGCTTTTTCATATGAAAAGGAAATATCATGAGTATCTAAATATCAACCAAATGTTTAATGTGTGTGATAGCGGGTAAAATTTCCACAGTTTCTTAGACGATGGAAGTCAGTGAAAATTCTAGTTGAATGCACAGGATGACTTTGGATTTGTCAAAAATTGAAAACGATCATTACAGAGTATAAAAAAAAGTCGTGTACATTTTAACGAAAGAAATTATTGAAATATAAATGTGCAACATTTAATAACGTGTATTCTAATGTATGTTTGAAAACAAAATGTGCGTTATAAACTTATAAAATGATAATGAAAAAAATGTTTAATTATATGAAAATGAACAATTTAATTTATATGAAATAGGGAGTAGAACTGATGATGGAAATTAATGGTAATAAACATTTGCGACGTGTGGCATTCTCAAGTAAATAAATGCACAGCTATTTATAGGTGGCTAATTCTATTTAGGACAACGATAACAAATCATGCCACAGGGTTGAAAAGATAAAAAGATTAGTTGCTATTATAACCAAATAAAAATAAATTTATATATATATTTTTTTGAAAAAAAAAATCAAAATTAATCAGAGAATTAACTGCAGTCGTAGTCGGTCAACTACGTTTGCTGCTGGATAGACCCCTTGACTACATCCTTGTAAGGTGATACTGTAATTCTTCTTGTTTCATTGCCCTTCATGGTTATATTTTTGAGAAAATATTAATGAGGTAAAGGTGTTTTTAACTCATCAACACAAATCCATGCGAGGCGAAGCTTTTTTATGTGGCAATACGTTTAAAAAAAACACCGCACTGGGAAGATCACACAATTATGGAAAAAATATTTGTGCGATTCGAATAAAAAAATTAACCAGAAGTCGACGTTTTTTCGTAGAATATGATATAGCTAGCTATTCTGAGTTTTGAATAAAATACGCTCCCTTAACTTTTTTCTATTTTTTTTTACTGTAGTCCATACTACTTTTAATTTGTGCATAGATTTCGTGATACTACAATTCAAGTTATCATTTTATAGATTATAAAATGTGAGAATCGTTAAATTTTCGTTTAAAATGTTCGCGTTTTTTGAATTTTCAAATATTTACGCTTACCATTTTATACTTTTTATCGTCAAAGAGCAACGCGGAAAATGATTTTAAAAAAGGATCATACCTTCCACGTCGCTGCGTTACGCCGGAAATAGCAGAATGTATTTTGGAACCAGTTGTAAATCTCATTTAATGTCAATTGCTTGTCTGGAGATTCGATGATGGACTGCAAAAAAATGAGTATTAATATCAATTTTCTATGGTATATATAAAAAAAATGTTTTGATCGATCAGCAATGTAAACGTTGCATATACAAGTACACATTTAATTATATACCTGCAAATGCGTTTTGCAACAAGTATTCCTTTGAAGTTTAACAAATAATTGTTTATAAAAATATTTTTTTATTAAAAAATGTTTATAAAATTGATAGAATTAATCTTCAACTTCAAGAGCTGACTAATCTTTTGAATTTAGTATATTGATTGCCCAAATGCGAGCTTATTAAGAAGAAATTAAAATAATTGAATTACCTGGCGAATTAATGATGCGTACGTGAAGGGCGGCCTGACATCTGCATTTTTGTAGAATTCTCTATTCCGCTGGATCTCTGCAAACGACGTAAAACTTGTTTGTAGCGCGTGTTTCATGTACGTTGAATTTATCAAAGACAACATTAACAAACATTTGGAAAGTTCTCGATTCTGCATAATGAGCATATAAATATTTATTTCAAGGTGGAAAATTTTTTTCATTCAATATTATTTTTGCGGTATGCAAATCGATTACCCTCTGATGTAAACATTAACAAAATCAAATTTTTATAATTATAACTTTGATGAGTAAAGAGTGAATAAACCAACATAAACAGGTGGTTTTGCACGCTTGTTACAAAAAAAGCTAAGTGCGAATGCAGTGCTGTCCAGATGAACAATTTATTATGTCTGCTGCTTTAATAAAAACTGAGGAAGTCTGTGCATATGTGCAATAAAACAAACTGTTACATGTCAAGTTAAAAAAAAATTAAAACGTAGATAGTGATCATGCAAAGAGAGAAAGAGAAAGAGAAAGAGAAAGAGAAAGGTAGAGGTAGAGGTAGAGGTAGAGGTGGAGATAGAGAGAGATAGAAACAAATTTATGATGGTCAAAAAGTAAGGTAAACATTGACAGGCCAATGATTGAAAAGTCATGACAGTACCTTGTTGAACGTCTAGGCCAGCGCGCTCCAGCATGTAGGGCAGCCCTACACGATGGCGGAGGCGGGCAGCACAAAAAAAAAATTTTGTAATGAGAGCAACTATTTGTCGATTCGAGTCGCAGCGATTAAGTGCCCGGCGAGCTACAAAATAACCCTCGACAAATCTTGATGACTAATAAGCAGCTATTGGCTTTATGAGAAAGCGACGTCTTTACGAGTGGGCCACCTCCAATATACATTCTGCTATTTCCGGCGTAACGGAGTGACGTGGAAGGTATGATTCGCCTAAATTGTACTTTTTTGTATGATTTTAGCATTTTTCAAACAGCATTTCGTTGTCAATCTCTGCAGTTATTTTCATCCAAAACATTGATTTATTAATTTTATAATAATCATTCGTCATAATCAACACTAACTGCGACAACAAAAAGCTCATTTAAAAACGATAAAATGTCAAAAATGTCGCCCAGACGTTGCCTAAATCCAACAACCGCTTATAGCACATGATTTGGTCAATAAGATTTGTAGCTTTTGTCTGAACCCAAGTGTAGATGTAAACGTTTTGTTTTTCCCCCAAAAGCCCGCTGTTAGTTTATGCGAGAGAAATGAGGCGCTGGTTAGAGGCCAATTAGGAAAAACGAGTGAATGCGCATACCACACGAAGAAAAATAGATTGAGTTTGCTCATGAAAAATCAGAGAGAGGACCGTAAAGTGCATTATCGTCGAAAATTACAACATTACCAAGAAAATCTATCTTCCACAAAGCCATCTTTTCAATTTCTTCGAAGCGGAAAATGATTTTTCAATGCATGAACACGTTAAAGTGTGAAACTGAGATGCAATTATAAAGCTTTTCCTCATTTTCGACTAGCGCGAGAAATTGCAAGATATTTTTTAAATTTAGTTATTACTCATAAAAAAGGCAAATTGTCATTTGTCTGTCAAATATAATTTACCTTCATTAATATCTAATCCTGCCTTATCGCCGAACATCCTGCGCCTTACAGTGCTCTCCTCATATATTCCTATGAATATACAGTTTGTTTGTTTTGAAATTCAGTGTTGTATTTTTTTATTTAAAATTTTCATTAATTAATTCGTTCGATGTAAATAATTTGGTAAAAGGCGTTAAAGAGTGTAAATCTCCCTGGCCGAATGTGTGTAAATAGTACATGTCTCGGTACGGAGCGCTGCCGAATGAGAACAAAAAAGGTGGCGGCTCGAAAGAACTCACCTCCAGCCAAGGACAGCGTGCTCTTGTCGCTGATCCGCCTGCGAATGGGCCCGGCCATGCTCGGTATGTTGGGCAGGCTGCCGGGCATGTTGGGCATCGGGGGCAGGCCGGAGATGTTGGCCATGCTGGGCAGACCGGGCGGCAGACCCGGGCCGGCGCCACCGGACACCGCGGGCGGCAGCTGACCGCCGGCCGGCGACCTGACCAGGGCCGACATCGACACGGGCGAGACCTGCGTGACGCCGCCGAACGACGGCGGTGCCTGGTTCATCAGCATTTTCGGCATGCTCGGTGTGTTCTGAGAAAATAACGTCGAGGAGCTCGTGTTTGTTTTTGTTTATCATTGATTGTGCAGCGCTGCTGCAGCCGCGATAGTTATTTCGATAACACAACAAGCGCGCGCGAGAGGGAGACAAGGTCGCGGCGAGATTAAGATAATATTGAAGCAAATGTTGTCTCCAGCGCGGCGCGCGTTGTGTTTTATAATATATATCGTTCAACGTTAAATTGACATTTACCGAAGATTCAGACGACTTGGGCGGCTCGGGCGACGCCATCTGTTTGGCCATGTGAAGATGGTGCATCATCGCCGTGAGCCGGTCGCGCTCCTTCTGCAGCTGGATCTCCAGCTGCGAGACGACTTGCATCTGGACTCGAGCCTGCGCCGTTGACCTGTCGTCCAATGTATGTTCGGTATTTAAGTGTCTGGAAAATGGACAAGTGTCGATTCATGCCTAGGCTTGCTTTTCTAGCCGCGAGATGCCACACGATAAAAGCTTGCGAGTTCTTTCGTTTGTAATCCTGTTTTTCCGAAGCCAGGCTACCAAGCTGCTGCTCCCCGAGTCGACGAGTCTTGGGGGGGAAAATACAGATTTCGAAACAAGGTGGCGAGGCTACAAGGGAGCATGACACAAACAGACAAAGAGGGAGAGAGCGAGAGAGAAAAGTAGATAAGAGTCGAGCAGCATAACGATGCGGTCGACTATGTCGTGAATATTGATGAGACAAAGGTAATTAGCTAGTCTCTCTCTCTCTCGCTCACTCCACAGCTCGTGCTTCATTTTCCTGTCTCGGGCACTTTTTTTTTATTCTAAACAAAGAGAGTTCGATGCGCGACTCAAAGTTTCGCTTGATTACAAGCTCGTCGCTCTCTAATGCGGTTAAAAAGCCTCAAAGACGCTGGCGCGCGAGCGAGCTGACGCCGTGAATTTCATTTGCCTCTCTCGATCGAGCCGCGACTCGATTTTGGCCTTTCATCTTTGATCGCGCGCTTCGAACCGAATTTAACAGCCGCGTGGCAAGTAGTCGCGGCCTGCTTTGGTCAGCCAAAATCTATTCTATACGATACTCACTTGAGGAATGCTTGATAATCTTCCGCGACGAACTCGCAGCCGGGCCACTTGCAGACCCCGTGGCCGTAGAGCGGGTGCTGCATCTTTTCGCTGCAAGCCGTGTCGAGGGCCTGTTGCTGCTGTTGCTGCTGTTGCTGTTGCTGCTGTTGCTGCTGCTGCTGCTGCTGCGATGGCTTCTCGTCCAGCTGCGTCGTGCCGTTGATCTCGGAAGCTCGCCGGCTCGAAACTAGCGAATTCAGAAGGCCTGCGATGAGCAGGTGCCCATTTTTCGATTTTACATCGGTGCTATGCGGTGCGATCGTACTATCGCGTTGGGGCTCACGGCGGATCTGCGATGCTTCGACCAACTTACCATTGAGGCCGGAACTGGACTTGGACACGTTGGAGTTTGGATGGGATTCCGAGCTGTCGGTCGGCTCGCTCTTCCAGGATGGCAGCGACTCGTTGGCCGGCATGCCGGCCGAGTGATTGTGTCCCTGGAGGCCGAGGCCCTGCTGGATGAGGTACTGGCGCTGCGTCAGGTGGTACTGTTGGACCAGCTGCTGCTGCTGGAGCGCCAACTGCTGCAGCGGCGCCGAGGCCTTCTTCTTGTCCGACGTCTGTAGCAGATGCGTCTGTTGAATGAGGTTGAGCTGGAGCTGCTCTTGCAGCTGTTGCAGCGCTTGTTCCAGTTGTTTGCGGCTCAGCTCGTTCATCTGATGCTGATGCTGGAAAGACCAATCAAGTTGGATGCTTCGGTGTTCTTCTCGCTTGATATATCTCACTGACTATCGTCATCGTGATATCGGGAAAGGACTTACGTTCTTGAGGGAGGAAAAGTATCCGAATCGCTCGGGATTGGAGGCCGACTCCGAGGGGGAATCCTGATGCTGCTGATGGTGCTGCTGCTGTTGCTGCTGCAGGTAGAGCTGGTGCTGCTGCACGAGCGTCTGCAGCTGGCCCGGATTAAGTATGTGCTGTTGGAGTATCTGCTGCATCTGGTGGGCCGGGCTGAGCATCATCTGGCTCGTGGTTTGCGACGAGGAGCCGGTAAGGCCTGCTCCAGGCGGGCCTTGCGAGGGGCCGGGCGGCGACGCCCTGCAGCCAATCGATCCATCAATAGATCGTATGGATGGACAAATAAAAAATGATCAAAAAGTTTATACGTACCGCTGCGGAGCTTGGGGACTCTGATGCGGACTCGGCTGTGGTCCTGGCGCGCCCGAACTCGGCTGCTGGGATTGCTGCTGAATGCTGGGCTGCTTTTGTTGGGTCATCGGGGGGCCAGCTGCTGCCTCAGTGCCTAAATTCGGACTGAGCTTACCATTGCTTTGGTACTCGATGCTCAGATCCTTGTCGGCGGGCCCGTTGTTGGTGCAGCTACTGCTGCTGCGCGACTCGCGGCGTTTGCTCGCGCTCACGCCGGCATCGCACTGTTGCTGTTGCTGCTGCTGTCGTTTCAACGCCGAGTAAAGATTCCTCACCTGTCGTGGACGTGAGTTCTTGTAGTTATTCGTATCAAAGATCAATTGCAAAATTTCAAAGAATAACACCATAGTCTCGACTTTTCTCCTAATCCCTCTTACACTCTCGCACTAGCTCTTTCTCTTTCTTGTACATATACAAAACGAATAAATCTCTCCCTCGCTTTTTGCCTCCATGTATTATTATAATGAATAATATTGATCTTATCTAATGGTATTCGCAAGAGTTGAAAAGTCTTGTATGTAGATGCGATGATATATACACACACTCTCTCGTTGCTGATGTTTACACAACTACGAGAGAGAGAGAGAGAGAGAGAGAGAGGCCGGATTTGTTTTATTAAGTTGCGCGCACGGAGAAGCACATCGCGGCCTATACACAACTGTTAATGAATGGATCTTTTGTTTGATTTCTCTCTCTCTCTCTCTGTGCTGTTGCTGCTCCAAGCTGCCTTAGGTTGTATAGTTGCCGAGGTTATTTGGTTTTGCAAATTTCCAGGATTTTGATGCCGTTCTTAGGATAAGTCGTTAAATGGAATGAAAATATTTTACCTTCTGTTTGTCTCGTCCGTACGCACACGAGCTCGTACACGCTAAAATATATACTTCTATGCGTGTTTTTTTTTATGATGCACGCGTAGATGTGCATCCTCTTGTCTCTTTGTGAGTCGCGAGCTAAGAAGAGCAGAACGACCGAGCTCTGCTCCAGAAACGATTGGCATTGAGGCAAAGGAATCGGGGGGAGGGAGAGAAGATCTCAACAGCCAACAACAGTCGCAATTCTCCTTGTCATATTTAACCTGCTCTCTCAATGGTCCTCAAGGGTCTCGCCAAGACCTTCTTTCGCTCCGTCGTCGTTTACACACGAGAAAAGAAGGAGCCGAGGAGAAAGAGGAGTAGGAGGAAGAAGAATAAGAAAAATTGGCGCTGGTACATGCGGAATAATATATTAATCGGCTAGACGGGGATTGTCTCTCTGCCGGCGATACGCATAACAATTTCACAGGGATGATTTGTAAATGTTCTCGGGCTACTCTATATGTGTGTACAGATCTCTCGAGCGCAGAAGTTCACCAAAACTGAGCGATAATTAAGTCCCTCCGTAATCAAAGGCGGAAAAATTGGAATTTTCTCCAGAGGAGGCGTCTCGTCGACGGTTCGCTCTTCTCTCGACTCCTTCGTTTCCCCGTGGTATTAATTAACGAATTAAGACGACGACTCGAAGAAAGCAGATAGTAGTGGTGGTGCAAGTGGCAGCGATATCGTATAGGCGCGCTTAAAAGGATTAAAGTCCCCGCGGGTGCTGCTATATATAGGCACGGAGCAGCACAGACACATTTGAAACAATTTCTTTTTTCCTTCGCGTTCTTTTATCGGGGACGAATAAATCAGCCAAACAGACCGCGAAAAATGTATGACACGCGTGGCAAAACAATTTTCGTTCGCTCGTCTATAGGGGCACTTATAAAGTGGCGCGTCGGCAAGTGAAATTTCGTATTCAACGTGAGCCGCGCCACACGCAGCAGCGCAGCCCAGGGCCAATCAGTCGAGCGAGGCGGTGCTTTTCTCGCGCCTCCTGTTGACGTTTGTCATAATATTTTAATATTAAATCACGTTATATATCAGTCATGCGTTCGCATAATCAGAGCCGGAGCACGAGGCGGGGGGGTACAACGAGTCCTTGCGTGTCTCTGCTTCGAATCTTCATTTGCTAATTTTTCCCCATGTATATGCGCCCGCGCTTGTTTATACACCGAGACTTTTTTAAAGAATAAATATTTCTTCAGCCTCTGCAAGTCTCAAGACAAGACAAAACATACTTCAAAAACGTCGTGTACAGTTTTCTTGTGCACTCGAAAAAGAAAAAACAATAATAATAAAAAATGAAAAATAAAAAGAAAAAAGGGAAAAGGTCTAAACGTTACATGTCAATGTACACAGTGTGTATAGGAGAAGAAAAAAGAGGGCGAGACGAGTATTTACCACTCTTACGTACACGCGAATACATGAGCCTAGAGAGAGAGAGAGAGAGAGAGAGAGAGAGAGAGTCGTCAGCTGCGCGTGCCTGCGAGAAATGCGGGAATACAAATTGGCAGCCCAGACGAAGCTCGTCTCCTTTTCTCCGACGCGCATAATGAATTCGCGCTTCTTTCCCTTTTTTTTTTATTGTATCACGCGGGTTAGTCGGGCAAGGGAGGCGCGTATACCCGCCGTACAGCGAAAAGGAGCCGCCGATTCGCGGTCCTGCCTATGTTTCAGCCTCTACACTACATGTACACCGGGCGCACACGTAGCCCGGCCCAGTAAACCCAATGTAAAGCGAAAAAAGAATACATGCCCACATGCGAATCGTCGCGATTGATTAGTTCGTATCTCGACGCGTGCAAACACAGTCGAGTGCGAGCAAACCCGCAGGATACGGCGCAGCGGAGCTTTCTCCATTTCCCCGACGCGCGCTACAGTCCCGCTAATTCCAGTGCATACACGTTGTACACGCCTCGAATCGTAGATGCGCTAACAAAGAGAATTTCCAAAAGAGTAAAGCCTTCCTTCCTTTGCTCTTCTTTTTTCTTTTCGTTTTTTATTCCATTTCGCGCACATCTCTATCCTCCGCATCAATCCGCCCGGAGAAGGTTAAGGTCGATTTGATTGAAAAAGTTTGATTGGCTCCATGGGCCGCGCTGGCACGAGCTGTTTATACGAGGATCAACTGCTTTTACGATTGAAATTTGACAAAAATAAAAATTAAAGGGGTCAGTTTTTTGTCTCTCTCGAGTGCGCCTCTCTCTCTATGCGATATATATGACGACAAACAGATTTTAAAATGCACGAGGAACAATAAGCAGCCAACAATATCTCAATTTCACTTACATTGTTAAACGTTGCAGCGGCGACTGCATGCATACGCGGAAACAAAACAGTATTTCCACAATCAGACGCATAACCCAAGAGAGAGAGAGAGAGAGAGGAAAAGGGAGACAACAGTCGACAAACAATGAAGGAGATCGCGCTAATTGACATCGGCCCTCTTTCTCTATTTTTTGTCCCTCGCACAAAACAGTTCATATTGTCGATGGCCCAACGTTGCGCGCGCGCGGGGGCCAAAAATAGTGAAACAAGGCGAGTGCAGGCGCACGCCCGGCCGGCCATTCAATTTCGCCCGATCGGCCCTTTCACTCGCAAAGCAGAGCGCGCGCTATTAATTATGCAGCGCAAGATTCGATACGCTCCCGTGGACAATCGACCTTTCGACTGCTGCGATTAAATGATGCAGGACATCCGCACCGAGAGAATCGCGTCGTCCTCGCGAAGCGCTTGCTCAGCCGATTACGACTCGTTAATGAAAGCCAAACAGAGCGTTGCGCCGCCAAGACGTTTTTCTAAATCAGCGTCCGACTAATGAAATCACGACGAATTTTACAGCGTCGTGTGCACTCATATTTTCAGCTGAAATAATTAATAAGCCGCTTGACACTCCATAAAATCAATTAAAAAGCTCTAATCGTCATTGAAATGCTTATTGACCGAGTCTTTTGCGTTATTTAACAGCAGGAACGAGGCATCAATATTTAAGCTCGATCAATTAGCGTCTGAGCTTTTTCTTCTCGATGCAGAGATCGGGGACGGTTATTTTTTTTTTTGTTCCGCGCGACAGCACGATGTACGTTACATCCTGCGCTGCACGTACTTATTTATTCGTAACAAATATTAAGATCCCCTCGAAGCTGAGAATTATATTCCTTCAAAGTTTTCGCCTCTCTCTCTCTCTCTCTCTCACTCTGTCTGTCTGCTGTGGGATGCTCTATATAGGAGCTCGAGTGTCGGGCACGCGCCTCGAATTTATGAATATTTCTTTCCGCACGGTCACGCGCAGCCGTGAAAATCCATCGGATAGATACTGAATACTCCTCTCGTCCCAAGCTCTTTTCGCCGTGCGAACAGATAGATTCTTTGGGATCATGGACCAAGGTATATTTATTCACTTCTCGTGCGCCTTTTCTTACGCTTCCCAAGTCCCTTTCCCCTCTCTCGTATCTTCCTCTCTCCCTCCCTCGCCTTCTTTTTCTCTCTTCCGGGCGAAAAATCAAATGTACATATGCGTGTATATATATACGGTGACATTCTGTGCGAGCCCAACGCGCTCTACAATTGCTCTGCTAACAAGACTTGAAAAACTTTTGGCTCTCGGCTTTTCGTACAACACAAACATCCTCTTGGCCGATCGGGGCATTAATATTCATAAAGTCGGAGGTTAAAAATCAGAGCAGCAGTAGAAAATTAAGCTCTCGACCCTTCGTCTGTCTTTCTCTCTCTCTTTCTCTCTCTCTCTCTCTCTCGTCATTGTTAAGGGCGCCAAGTTGCGGTTAAAAATTGTACGGTATTACTTAAAGCTCTCACTTTTGACTTTCTTACGCCAGCTTGATGATACAATTAATCCCGGTCTTGCTCTCGGCTTGGGAAATTATCCGATATTTTTCACACCGGCCCCAGCTCCAGCGAGTCGACGTAGCGGTGCCTAAAAAAGGGTTGTGTTTCGGGGCAGCAGTTGCACCATCTGCTACATAAAAAAATATTTGACTCGATTGACGCGCGCGTACAGATTTGAAAAACGAAGAAGACGAAGGGCTAGAACAAGGGCCGCGCTGGAATCTTTTATTTTGCCAAAGAGAAAGAGAGAGAAAGCTTGATTGCTGTCGTTTGTGCGATGCTGTTGCCACTAGTCTTTTTACTCTATGTACGTATTCCGAATTTATATACAGAGAGATCGTTTCAGTTTTTCGAAAAAACGCACGGCAGACATTCTTCTCTCTCTCTCTCTCTCTCTCTCGTAATGTATAATGCAGGGAAAAGGAGCGCAGTTATGGGAAAAATTTGCGTGCACGATGACGTACATTCCGCGGCATTATACTCTCGAACAATAAACGATAAAACTTTAAAATATATAGCCCGTACGCGCTTGAATATGTCACTGCGATGTAGTGCCGTGCCAGTGTTATAGC